CCTGGATGACTGAGAATTTCCATAGACTCTTCTGAAGGATGAACAATATTTCCAGAAATTGCTTGACCAATCTTGTTCATTTCTTGCTTTTCTTATTTCTTTATAACAGCTTGCTTTCATGCAGGGAAAATCCTTATCCTAATTAACAGACAGGACAAAAATACTTTAAATTGCTTTGATAAACTGATTTCTTTGTATTTTTTTAAAAAAATGCCTTGGAGTCATTCCACATACAAATTTTGTACTCTTGTGGCCTTGATTTTGCATGATTCCCATGCCATTCTCATCTTGGGCAGCCAAACTTATTCTTTTCCTAGATTAAATTGCAGAACTTCTACTTATGATTTACACTATGGAAGCTCTGTGAAGCTTTGAGCCAGGCTATTTTCCCAATTCTAAAAATTGCTTCACTCTCCCATCCCATTGCTTGAATTTGGAGATTTCTAGTATGTTTGAGAGGTAACTTTATCAGTGAAATGATCTTGCACTTTTTCACACAATTGCCTACTTGACTTGGTTCTACCTACTGTTAGTATGCAGCAAAATCTTGTACCCCACCTCTCTTTCCAGGATTGGGCTAGTTCAGTTTGTTGTGGTATGCCGAAAACACGTGTTGGCACTGACAATGCAATATGTCCTGCCCCCCTGTGCATGTGTGCACCTCCCAGCTGATTTTTGGCCCATTTGAGGCCGTTTTCTCCCTCCCAGAGGCTTGAGGGAAGCCTCTGCAGCCTTGGGAGGCCGAAAAATGGGCCTTCCAGAAATACTGGAAGTGCCTGTTTTCAGCTTCCGGAGGGCCTCTGGAACCCGGGGGAGGCCGTTTTCATTCTCCTGGAGGCTCAGGGGAAACCTCTGGAGCCTCAGGAAGCTGAAAACAGGCTTGTTTCGGCACGTCCAGTATTTCCGGAAGGCCCATTTTTTGGCCTCCTGAGGCTGCATAGGCTTTCCTCGAGCCTCTGGGAGGGCGAAAACGGGCTCCAGAGGCCCTCCGGAAGCTGAAACGGACACTTACGGTATTTCCAGAAGGCTCGTTTTTCAGCCTCCCATGGCTGCAGAGGCTTCCCTCGAGCCTCCAGGTGAGAGAAAACGGCTTCAAATGGGCCAAAAATCAACTGGGAGGTGCGCCATGCACAGTACAGGTAAGTTTCACTGTGGCTTGCGTGCCCACACAAATGGCTCTGTGTGCACCTGTGGCATGCGTGCCATAGGTTTGCCATCATGGGGCTAGTTGTTCTCTGATGGAAGAATGCCTGCAAAGTTATGCTACATTAGAACTTAGAGTGAGAATTGATATGCAGAAGGAATAATGTCTTGAAAGCCATTGAAAGTCTGAGCAAAACTTTGCCTCCAAATAACGTGGACTGAATTTGGAGAAGGCTGGTGATTTATTTCTCCTTTTTGTGTGAGGTGGATCCTGAGAGGACTTTTGCTTCAGGAGATGGGGCACTAACTGTCTAACGAATCTACAGACTCTCCTGTTGGCTGGCTGAGGGCAGCATTGATTACCTCATAGTGTTCTTTTTGTATTTGCCGCAGTCTGAACTTGGCAGGTGTGATGATTCCATATGGAGCGTTAACATATTTTGGAATAATTTGCAAGTAGAGAAACAGTATAGTGTGGATTTATTGTTTTTAAAAACAGTTGGTATTTCAGAATTTCGGAACATTTTAGATTTTTCTTTTTTCTTAGATTCAAATGTCTTCCATTTCAATGATATAAGCTTAAAATGATTTGAACAGTTACATAGTTGGAGTAATAGCTTGTTTGTATGAATAAAGGCAACATTTTCTGTAAAAGGACCTGCCCATTTCCTACTGGCGTCTTCTCTGCAAGCTTGTATGAAACTTGTATTAAATAATGCAAATTGGATATGTTCTAACTAGTTCAGTAATTGCCCCCTAATTAATGGAGCCCAGCATTAATTTACTTTGCAAACAGAACAATCAATTTAATGTTGCTGTTCATAGGAAAATTATGCATACATAAAATCCTAAGAGGTAATATTGAATACTGAATTAATATCTAAATTACACAGTAAATTTCTTGAATCTAATTTATTATTAATCACGGTTTTAGCAATGAATTTTATATTGTAGTGAATAATTTTGTGCCATTCTACTTTATACTCAGCAAAAGATAATATGAAATTTTTTACAGATGTTATTGATTCATTTTCCTCTTACTTTTGATTATATAATCTTTCTTCATTAATAAAACTGTCAGTTGCCCATAGTGCATCAAGAATGAGTGCATTTTCCCTTTTTCCTGTAAAATATGTTTTTAAAATATAATTTTCAGTCAGAGCTCTGATTTTGTGTATTGTAGAAATTAGAACTTCTGTAGCCTTGCCACCAAATTCTTATTTTTTTTTTAAAAAAAATAGTATGTTAGAAGTAGTGAAGTACAGGTTATCTTTATTATTAATGAACTCTTCTTTCCCTTATCTCTGACCTGTTACAGATTTGGGTTACACAAAATTGAATGGGAATGTATATTCTCATGTGCATTAAATGGGTAAAAAATGAGTTGAGCTATATGGGCACATCCAATTGGTTTCATAGAAATAATACCTGTACTGATTATTGCTGTTACATTCTTCTGGGGTAGTCATCTCCATATTCCACCATAATCACTCCAGATATTTATCACAGATAATTAAACATAGAGCAAACATTTTAGGACAAACACAGGCACAACATGAGGCGTCTAGCAGGATGCAGTTTCTTCTCTTTAGGCGTAGAGGGGACAGTAATAGAGTTTCAAGTCCACTCAGTATTTTATTACATAATATTGCACTATTTTGTCTATTTTACTATTTTATTCAGTATCATAGTGCATTTTGTAACAATATGAAGTGGACTTAATTGGTCAAGTTGTAGTGTGAAAGAATGCATTTTCTCCCCCTAAATAGCATATTCTTTTAAACAGGTTATCATCTCTTACCTATAAATAAATTATACAATTTATTGTTTTTCTCATATTGATATATTTAAAAATTTTGACTTTAGGAGAGCAACATGGAGAGGAGAAAATTGGGAAGAGAAATTTGGGGGAAAATAAAAGGGCTGTATAACATACATAAAGTCCTTGACTTATGACCACAATTGAGCCCAGCCTTTCCATTCCTAAGCAAGACTGTTGTTAAGTAAGTCATGTCCCATTTTACAAGCTTTTTTGTCATGGTTGTTAAGTAAAATACTGCAGTTAAGTCAACATTAAGTGAATTTGGCTTCCCCCATTGACTCTTCTTATGAGAAGGCAGTTGGGAAGGTCACAAATGGTGACCACATAACCCTGGGACATTGCAAATATCATAAATACATGCCACTTGCTAAGCACGTGAATTTTGATCACATGACCATAGGAATGCTGCAACGGTCATAAATGTGAAAACTGGTCATAAATCACTTTTTTCAATGCCATTGTAACTTTGAACAATCAGTAAATGAATGATTGTAAATCAAGGATTACCTGTACTTCCATACTGTCATTGATCTGCAAACTATTAGACTACATTTAATTCTATTCCTAATCTCTGGGCTTGGTCTCTAGATTTACTGCTGCTGCTGATATTTTTCTTTCATTCACTGTAAACACTTATCAGTTCAGTCCTTTAATTTTTCATGTGGTGAAATTCCTATTGAAAACTAGTGTGTTATGATGTTTTCTTACAAGCTTTTTTCTGTTGTTTGAATGTAACATTCCCATATTATCTGTTTTCACCATGTTCATATTGAAACTGAATTCTTAGAGAACCTTCATTTTTGAGTAGTTTGAATGATATTGTACCACACCCAGATTTTCTTTATTGAGTGATTGCATGATATTGTATAATATTGCATGGTATTGACTGCATCACACTTTCCAGCATAAATATGATTTATGGATTTGTTTTTCTGATTTCCTCAAATTTTGGACATAATTGTCTAGTTATATTTGGAATTTGGATTTTTTTTCTAGAAATAACATGGTAACTTTCATTGTTTGCTCTTTAGACTGATAACCATATAATTACTGGATCATAGAACTAGATATCAGTTAAATAGTCTATAATAAGGAAGCAATATTTCATATGAACACATCAATCCCAATCCCTCACCCCTTTCCTAAAAGGCCTGTAGGGGGCGTACATAAGTGCACCAATTGTGCCTACCGTCCCTGTCCTATTGTTTCTTTTCATTTTTCTTATATGTATCCATCTCATGTATTCATAATTATGTTTATACTTATACCTATTATCTTGTAAGTGATTGACAAATCAAATAAACAAAATGAAAATAAAAAAAATAAAAATTTGTTTTCTTGACTTATGAATGTGCAATGTGCAATGAACATTCTAGATTTCTGGGTATGTACCCAAGTCAAATAGTAAATCCCTTTTACATCTTGCCAAAATGTCCAGTACGAATTTTCTTTAGATGAATGACTGAAATTATAGTCTATTTTCCTATGAATTCAAGCATGTCTTTGATTTTTAATTATTTCTGATATTCTATAATAATTTCCCATTATTCTTGAGCTTTACTCTACATTGGTTGATTAAATATACAGTCAAGTTGATTTTGACTGTGTGGTCACCAGGAGTCAAAAATGACTTGATGATAGATACTCAAGAGGCAACCTCATTTTGTCATTCCAAGCAATTATCATTCTGTTTTATGCCTCTCTGTATTTTTTCAACTTCTTTTATGAAAATGATCCTAATGATCCTAAGTACTTATTCAGGTACTAACTTCAAAACTCTGCTGTTATTACTTTGCCTTTCTGACACAGTACATTTTTCAACCTGCTTGCCTTTGTCTCAGTTGGTATCTTGGATTTTTCTTGAGATTTTTTCCCCACCTCTTTTCCCATAAGCAGATATTCTTAAGTATAAATATATGCTGCACTTAAGCACTATGGATGATAATCTGGTCGTAGTTTGCTATGCACACTTCTATGCACACTTCTATAAAAGGTTCTTAATTGATTTATTATTTTTGAAACATTTATTTTCCAGGTTTTAAAAATCAGCTTGCTTGGACATAGAAAACGCATTTTGGCCTCATTGGGAGACAGACTTCACGAAGAGCCACCTCAGAAACCACCACGTTCTATCACCCTCAGGGTAGGTTCATCAAATCCTTGTAATATCTAAAGCATACATTGTAAGTCATAGTATCTTCCAACACAAAGAAGAGACTATTTAATAACTGAATTTACCACCATTCAGACAATTATTACATTTGTAAATTTCTATAAGGGTGCTTAGATTTATAGTCAACAGAACTTGCTTTGTGAGATGAGATGAAGAGGGATAATTAAAATCAGAATTTGGGCTTTTAAAAAACATATTTTATTGCATCTTCATATTTAGCTAGTTGAATGCTTAAACAGGTAATCCTTATGACCACAATTGGGACTGGAATTTTAATCATTGTGGGCATAAATTGAGGTACCACATGACTTGACCTGATTTTTCAGTTCTTATTATGTAACTCATTAAGATAATTATGCAGTCCTAAACCTTGAATCACACACTCATTAAGTGAATCATGGAGTTTGAATCCACTTTCCTAAATGTTTTTTTTTTTTGCTAGGAAAAGGTTAAAAAATAATGGAAAACAGCCAAAAAAAATAAAATTAAATCTTTATTAAATAATTAATTTATTACTGTTGCTATTCTTTGGTACAAACTCAGTCTTAGTAATGTTTATATATTATCTGTCTGTTATATAAATACAATTTTGTTTTTTATTGGAGATTGGAAAGAGGTTTATTTGCTTTTAATTATTACTTTTCAAATAATAAAGAAAGCTATTACAGATTACAGACTATTCTTTCTGCAATGGTCATAACTGTGCAAAAAGGTCATAAGTCACTTTTTTCAGTGCAGTTGTAACTTCAAATGGTCACTAAACAAATACTTTATTTTACGGTGGATAAGATGCACCCTCCCCCCCAAAAAAAAACGTGGGTGGAAATGTCTGTGCATCTTATATAGTGAATGCTGCCAAAGCCCTGCCCACCTGCCGACCCCCACCCTTCAGCCTCTGCCTCCCAGCAATTTGCCTCCTTGTAGCAAACAGCAAACACTCTGGTCAGCTTCAGCACAGCCTGATTAGTATAAGCAGCTGATTGTCAGCTGGATCGGCCTCACAACGATCAGCTATTTCAGGCTGCAAGGATTGCCATTGCCCATTGCCGCCTCTGCATGCCCTGTTTTCGGCCTCCACATGCCCCATTTTTGGCCCATTCCGGGTGGCAGCATCGGAATGGACAGAAAATGGGGTGTGTGGAAAATGGGATGCAGAGGTCGAAAATTGAGTGCACGGAGATGTCAATAGGCGATGGCGATCCCTGCAGCCTGCAACAGCTGGTTGTCGGGAGACAATTTGAACCGACAATCAGGTACTTGTGCTAATCAGGCTGTGCTGAAGCTGACCAGGCTGTTTGCTGTTCTCTACAAATAGGCAAATTCCTGGGAGGCAGAGGCAGATTTTTTTTTCTTGTTTTCCTCCCCAAAAGCTAGGTGCATCTTATACTTCAGAGCATCTTATACTCTGAAAAGTATGTTAGTTGTAAGTCAAGGACTACCTGTATTGGGAGGGTTATTTAGACATGTGGTCAGTTTTGACCCATGTGGGAAACCAGTTTTAACGATCTTAACATCTCTAGCCTTCTCACATATTGAGATCTCACTACTTGTTTATAATGACACTGAATCAAGTGACAAAGCACTGTCATTGAGAGCAGTTTAAAACTGTTGTATTGTTAAACTGAAATTTTACTAGCTGTTCATAAGTGTCTTATTTCATGTCCTACACTCTGGCAATATCTGATCTATGAAAACTCTTCAAGTGCTTGAAGAGCAATCATTGTTATCACTGATAGCTTTATGATTTCCTTCTGTCTTTTCAGTAATACAAGTAATTCCTTTATATGTGACTTCTTTTATGCGTATAGCTTTTCTAATGATGTCTCTTATATGGTAATATTTAAAGAAAGATCTTTAAATTCTATAAGAAGTGAGCATTCCAGTTACTGAATTATTGCTGTCAATTTAAAGTTTATGAATTTCTTACATTTCTAAACATTGACCAGTAATGGAACTATTGTGCACCCAGAATTGAGTATATCCAGACTGTTTCATCCATGTTATTAATATGAATTAAACAGTGCAGCGGTTCTTGCATGGTTAACTTGAGTAGAATTTCTCAGTCTTGGCAGCTTGAAGATATGTGGACTTCAATCCCCAGAATTCCCCAATTAATGTGCTAGCTGGGGAATTCTGGGAATTAAAGTCTACATATCTGCCAAGGTTGAGAAATGCTGAGCTAGAGTGCTGAGAATAATGTTTATTTCATGCTTCTACTTTCTTTCTTACTTGATGTAGGAACCCAGTGGTAATCACACTCCTCCCCAGTTGTCTCCTTCGCTCAGCCAAAGTACTTATACTACTGGTGGCTCCCTGGATATACCACACATTATCATGCAGGGAGATGCAAGGAGAAGAAGAAATGACAGCTATTTTGATGATATTCCTCGGTCAAAACTGGAAAGACAAATGGCACAGGTAATGTTGGAAAATTCCATATTCATTAGAAAGGTATTTTTAAATGTTTGTGTCCCTAGCATTATCTTTTAGAAATTGGTGTTCGATTTTTTTTCCAGCCGAATTTGCCTCTTAGTTTTTATCTTTTTAATTCTTTTCAGAAAAGTACACTTTTCCCAGTGCATTATAGAATTCTGTAAACTTACAGTTATTTGTACCTGAACAATCCTGGGAGGTGAATAAAATGAAAAAAAAAATCTACTTGCCTTTGAATAAAAGAACTACTTTTTGTTGTTCATGATGGAAAACCTTTATCTCTTTTGTTTGAATGATACAGCTTAGCCATCTGATAACTGTTAGTCTGGAAACTCGTCAGAGGCGCAACAAGATATTGCAGCATGGAATGGTTCATTCAGTAATCCTTATCCTCTTCCACACTATTTTATTTCACTGCCTTTCCCTCTGGTTTTGTTCTTCCCATTGATAATGAGAACATTGCTGTCCCTGAATATTCACTGACCTATTTTGCTTTATTTTCATTCTTCTTTTCTTCCTTAAGATAGTGATAGTAAGTGGTGATGTGTGGTGGTTATCAGCTTATCATGATGATTTATTCTGATTCAAACATATAATATGCTTCACTCTTCTATGTAGATGATGTAGTTTCTACTACCTAAGGAGAATAGAGGTAATTATAGACTACAATATTGTCTATCTCTGTGAAATAACTTTAAAAACAATTTTGTAGCAATACATTTTCATGTAGGTCATCTAAAATGGCTTAGCCCAAACAGATTTGACAAAGTGTAGAATGAAACTGTTCTTTGCTGCCCACATGACTTGTGTATTCAGGAATGCATGTCACAGAATACTCATAATAGATAGGTGGACTTCTTTCAGTTTGTCTGAGTATGCTGTGGTTATCAAGGAGAGGGAAATATTTTTTGACATAGAAAAGACTTTCACACATGTGAAATAGGCTAGTACAGCTGAAAATCACTTGGGACACATAGTGACCATTTCTCGTGAATTTCTTGTGAATTGTTGGAACAAATTGCAGTCTAATTGCAGGTCAGAATTCTTGATTCTTATCTACACTTTTAGATAATTTGTGATGGGATTTGTTGAAGGCTTTCCGGTGTATATAATAAATTATTTATATAAAATCAGTTTATTTTCTAGTCTTAAACTAGACATGATTAGTCCATTAATGACAATAAAGCAAACATATAAGCATATGATCAAAAAATGTTCCAGATTTCAATCTAAAGGATAGTATACTTGAGTTCCTATCTGCAAAACTGCCTTTGGATTATGTAGGTTATTGTCTGGTAGTGCATAGAATGACAGATGTCCTCTATCATGAACCATATTGTATCCATCAGAAACTATGAACACCTTCAATAGATGTGAGGTCACAGTTGAAGTCACAAAGTTTGATGGTGACTTGACGTGGCATCCAATGTTTGTTCAAGTATTTTATTTATTTATTTTGTTAAGCGATTATAAGATAACAGATATAAGTACAAACATAGTTATGACTACATGAAATACATATAAGAAATATATATAAGATACATATAGGATACATATAAGAAAAATAAAAAGAAACAATAGGACAGGGACGGTAGGCACGTTGGTGCGCTTATAGCACCTGTGACCTTAACCTTGATTCTATTGTCTTTTATCTCTCAGTTTTCAAAAGAACAGTTTATTTTCTCCTGCTGAATTGAATTTCATTTTAATCTCTAGCCCAGGGGTGGGCAAACTACGGCCCGGGGGCCATATCTGGCCCGTTGGTCTTTTTAATCCGGCCCGCCGAAGATTGGTACAGTATTAAGGTTTGATGTGAATGATTGAATGATTGCATTCATTTGATTTTGACTTGTAATGACAGGCATTTCGACACCAGGTGGCAGCCCGTCTGTCAAATTTTAAAAGTCAATGAGACCCCCGAGCCAAAAAGTTTGCCCACCCCTGCTCTAGCCGAAAGAACTGGAATAATCTATCCAAAATATAAGACAGCTTTAAAAACTGCAGATAAAGTACATTATTAAAAACGTTTACACATCAGTTAAAGAGTTTGAATACGAGAACCGCCAATGCTTTAATAATTTATTTTTTTAATTAATTATTTTGACATCTGAATTTCTTGCTCATAAAAATATATAAAATAGAGAGTTTTTTAAAAACGGGTATTGAATATAAATGGATAGATCTGAAAGCATAGTTCAGATTTTAAAAAGGGATTTCTAAAAAAAGCTGCACAAATCTTATTGCCAAAACCAGGTGTTAGGAAAATCTGAGCAGATGTCTTAAACTTTATGACCACTGTCATTAAAATTTATGTATCATTCAAATCACTCACTATGAAGCATATTAAGCCATATAAAAGCTATTTACACAGGCTTTCCCAAAGCAAAATCAAATTTTAAAAAAGTATGTTAGCTATACTCTTGAATTCCAAAAAGTGTGTTGGCTATGGTCTTTTTAATTATAAATACTTGGAAATCGGAATAATTTTTGCATGCAGAAAAAAATTATTATACTGATACATTCCCTTGATTATTTATTCTTCAGTTTTTAGTTAGATATTAGATACCTAATAGAGCCAAAAATTCTTTGCTGTTTCATGTGTTTTTGAGTGTTCTTAGCCAATTTCTAACTCTTCTGGTTCTCTACTTACAAAATATAGCAACACACTAACAGATTTGGAAGGAAGCTATTGTAATATATGGTTTGTCTCTTGCACTATTTTGCATCCAAAATAATAATTTTGAAAATACTTACTATAAAGTGCACATTGTTGTGTTTTCTGTTGTATTCCTTCAAAGTTCATGAAGCTGAATAGGACCCCTAAAGAAATAAATTATGCATAATCTAGAGCTTCCTTTTCAGAGGAGATATCTGGGTCAAAACAGAGAGGCTATGCATCAGTATTTATGGAGTCTATTGTTATCCAAATAACAGTTGTGGAATGCTCAAAATGGATGAAGTATCCACAACATGGGAGGAAGGATGTCAGATTCTGACCTCCCAGGTTACAATCTCAGTCAAATGTATATATTCAAACTCTCTGAAACTCTGATCATGAAGCAAGAGGATGAAAATTTTGCTTTACTTGATACAGGAATAAAGCATAATTGTCCCTCTCTTCAAATTTAATAGTGTTTATAAAACAGGCATGTAAAATGTTTTCACATATTTTATATATTTCTCATTTTGGACCTGAGTTCCTTCTGTGCTATTGCCCTGAATATGCTTAGAGAATACAATTCATTTTTGACACTTGCATGCAAAATTACCTTGGGTGCTTCTTCTTTAATATAGTTTTCCTTACCGATAGAAATAGCAAGTATTAAATACTTCCTCTGTTAGACTGCTGCATGAGTCTAGTTCAGAGTTTGCTCCGCCTTCTCGTCACATGACAGTCTGCCAATTGTTAATCTTGCCTCGTTGCATTTCAACTCAGTCCACTCATCAACTGGTCGTGTTTTTGCTTCCCTCTTGCTGAGAAGTTTTAAAAATTCAAGTTTATTGTTGGCAAGCTGATTTTATTTAACAGTAAAGGAGATTGGAAGATGTTCCCAGGGATCCGGCGATGCCGCGAGGGTTGCAGAGGGCTCTCTCCCCCCTCCAGAGTTATTCTAGGGCCAGGATTTTTTTGGAGGGAGACGCACATCAATCATCAAGGGGGAACCAGATCCAGGGCTCTTATTCAGGAGGCAGAGAGACTAGGTCTTTGGTCAGAGAAGTATCTACTATCTCTCAGGGCAGAGCACATTTTGGGGATCAACAACGTACAGGCCAATTAGCTAAACCAAGCCAAGCCACTGGGAATGGCGTCTCCATCCAGATCTATTCAGGGAGATTACTGGGATTTTTGGATCCCTGGGCATGGACTTGTTTGCCTCCCCAGACAATGCCCAGCTTTCCAGGTATTTCACCAGGTTCTCAACACCAGGGGTGGAGGGGATCAACACCCTTCGGTGCCAGTGGCCAGAGGGTCTTTTGTACGCATTTCTATCTCTTCCTCTCATTCCGGCCATAATCAGGAAGATGTTGGCATAGAGTTTGGAGGTTCTATTCCTGTCCCCACATTGCCCCCCGGTTCACAGATCTGCTGAACCTAATGTCCATGGAGGATCCCCCCTGTCCAAGATTACCCTCAGCCAGCGGGGACTTTTGCACCCAGAGCCTCAAGGGCTTCAGCTAGCCATATGGAGATTGAGTGGGGATTGTTAGCCAAAAAACAGATTTTCTTCAAGGGTCATAATGATCCAGGCATCTAGGAAAGCACCTACCAATTGCATATATGCTGCTACTTGGAGGATTTTTTTGTGCTAGATGTAGTAAGACTAATTGCTTGGCTATGGATGCTTCTATTAGTGACATTCTGGACTTCCTCCAGGATGGTCTGGACAGGGTTCTCTCACCTAATACTCTCCTCAGGCAGGTAGCGGCTTTGCCTTCTGTTTTATTAATGGGGACTTTGGAATCCATTTCTCATCATCCCCTGATCTGTAGACTCCTCAGAGGGGATTTTAATCTGCGACCTCTGGTAGTCCACAGGTACCCTACTTGGGACCTGTTTAAAGTCCTGTGGACTCTTACGGGAACTCCCTTTCAGCCTTTGAGATCAATTGGACTACGATTTCTAACAATTAAGGTGGCCTTCTTGGTTTGCCATCACATTGGCTAGAAGAGTTTCGGAGCTAGCAGCGCTTTTGGTAAGGGCAGACCTCTGCATTTCCCACCATAACAGGGTGGTCCTGAGATTAGATCCCACCTTTGTTCTGAAAGTTAACTCTTTGTTCCACAGAACACAGGAACTGGTATAGCCAGATTTTTGTCCAAATCCTAACCCACGAATTGGAAAAGAAATGGCATGCTTTGGATGTTTGCAGAGCATTCAAGATATATGTAAAGAGGGCATCTTCATTCCATAAAACAGAATAACTTTTTGCTTCCTTTCAACTGGCCACATTAGGGAACATGGTCTCTCCATCTATGATGGGCAGGTGGTTTCGATACTCCATATCAACGACTTATGAGACTTGTAGTCTTCCTGTGCCCAGTAGACTTACGACTCAATCCACAAGGAATGCAGCCACAACAGCAGCTTGGGCTACTCAACCCTCTATATATGAGATATCCTGGGCTGCCACTTGGTCATCTCCTTCCCCATTTATCTGTCATTACTGTCTGGACACTTTCGCTTCGGCGGATGCAGACTTTGGCAGATAGATGCTCCATTGAGTGGTATTGGAGGCCAGTGTGTCCCCTCCTAGGGACACACTGGCTTTGGTAAGTCCCTGAACTAGACTCTCGCAGCAGTCTAACAGAGAAGGGGTGTTGGCTTACCTGAGACGCCCATTCTCGTTGGACTGCAAGAGAGTCTAGCCCCACTCTGAGGAGATCTGGTAGTGGGGAGGAGGAGGATGTCTTAATGTGTTTTCAGAATACAACAACGTCTGTCAAGATTCCTTCACCAAAAAGCTGGGGTAACCATAGCAATGGAGGCAAGATTAACAATTGGCAGACTCAGTCATGTGACGAGAAGCCAGAACAAACCCTGAACTAGACTCTCTTGTAGTCCAATGAGAATGGGCGTCTCAGGTAAGCCAACGCCCCTTTTCATCCATAGTTTAGTTTTTCTTATGCAAAATTCTCACATCTAGTAATTGAAACATTACAAGACAGAGAACTAATTAAGGAATAAAATAAACCATAAGAGTTGTCAGAATAAGTTATTTTCAGAATCCTGCTAGATCTTCTTTAGGAACATTTCAGATCTCTTTAATTTTTTTTTTGAAAAAGGATCTAATAATGCTAAAAGTAGAAAACAGCTGTCTGAAAGGCAGTTGGATTTTTTATTAGAAGTATAATCAGAGCTATGACAAAAGCCTTTTTTGTTATGATCTAGCTACCGTGTCTCCATGTTGCTTTTGTTATGTGAGCCCCACAATTGGCTATGAATATTGAAATTGGACTATTCGGGTATTTACACTGAAAATTTTGTGTTTCAAACACTGAGAAACTATGTGATTCTGCAAGCCATTAGTCCTTCTAAAGCAATACCTCTTGCACATTATAAAGTGCAAATATAGGCCATGCTGTTGGCATATTTATTCCTTGAGAACTGCTGAATCTTGTTTGTTTATTTATTTTTGTTGTCAGGCTTTTTGCTGCTTGTTATTTTTTTTTCTTTCATACCCAGAAGGCCTCTAGCCTGTTGCAATCTTTGCCCATATTAAAATCCAGGTAACCCTTGATACCCTTGCTATATCTTCATTTATCAAAGAACAACCACTTCATAATCTTACAAAATTAGACATAATGCAATACTTAATTGCCAATTAACTGATAAGTGTAACTGGTAAATGGTTTGGACTGTTTGCTGCTAAAGTACCTGTTTTGTTGAATAATGATAACTGCTTGATTGTGATACAAATTCTTAGTATTGAATTGTAGGATTCTTTCTTGGCAGTTCAGAGAAAGTCAGTCTCCAACACCCTCAGAATTATAGTAATAATATAATTTATTAGTGAAAGAAGCTCAGATTTCAAAGACGAAAATGCATTTCAAGTGAGATTTTCTCACAGGAAGCTGCATATGTTTGAAATCCAGTCTTTATTTAGGTACCAGTATTACATTTGCGCTCTTTGTCTTAACTATTGGCTGTGCTTTGTATACTGTGGTTAAGCTATTGATGTATTAATTACTAGATACTTCCAAAGAATGCAGTTGCATTTCTCATCTGTTTAAGGCCTTTCATTGTTGCCTGCTCAGGAGACTGCAGGTAGCTACTATATCTGGTGCTTTAGTTGCTTGGCTACTATGAACTATTATCTTGGAGTCACTTGCAGTCTCCAAATAAGGAAAAATACATCAGGAGTTGCTGTCTGATGATAGAAAACCGATTTTCTATTCTTTTTGACACAGTTGCTGCACTGGAATCTTTCCTGACTGGCTGTAATTATACTTCCAACAAATTGAAGCATTTGAACTGCTATTTTACAACTATGAGTGCAGTTTTTACTGCTAATTATTGCAGCAAATACAGTGTGGTGATCTATTCCAAAGAGTTGTCCTCCTTTTTGGTGACTTAACCATTAAAACAGTTGAAGTTTTGCTTGTACTGCAGTCAATATCCCAAATGTTAATGCCTTTTGTTCAGCAGTGGCATTTGTTTGATAAGTTATTTGACCATTTAAGGTTGGTCTTCCCTCCTTCCTTCTACCCACCCATCCACTATATTGGAAAACTGCTCAGCCATGAAATAAAATTAAAGACTGGGGTGTGACAGGAAAACTGGATTTCTCTGCTGTGAAAGCTTTAATCCATAATCGGGGAATAATTTCATTGTTCTGAACTGGATTATGCTGTGTTTTCATGTTTTGTAATGGTTTTATCAGCAATTAAAAAGAGTATTGACAGCTCCAATAAATGAATAGTTCTTCTTTCTTTTAAATTTTTGCAGTTATATTTTATGCTCTGTGCACTGTTTTAATTCTTCTTTTGTTTAAGGGATTATTATTATTTATAAGATGAGATACAGTTTTCTATTTATATCAGCAGTCGTCTGTCTGTGAAATATGGACCAACCAGAATGCAGGATATCCTTACTCAGCAGTCCATCAGGTTCATAATGTAAGATATGTCAATAAATGGTTATGTTGTCACTGCATTGCTGTTCATTGTGCTGTTTTGGTGTTGATATAGGTGCGTTGCTTTTTGGAATTCAACAGGCAGTGTGTATTTCTAGTAATTTCCAGGATTCTGTTTGTTTTGTATTTGTTTTTCATAATGTGCAATTAACATGTTTGACAGAGGAGAGTGTAACTGAACACTAGTTTTTAGTGTTGCAGTGTGCAATGTCTGATTTTTTTCAATTCCTTTATCTGTATTTCAGTTTTTGTTTCAGATGGGGCTGTCTTTGTTCATCTTTAAAGACAATTGGTGTAAACTGTATACATTCTGCAGTTTGGCAGTATTATGTGTTTTTGGGGTTTATTACCCAGAATGGTCGCCTTTCTAGTCTGTCAAGACTTTTTCTCCAAATGTCAGAAACAGTTACCGCAGTGTACTTCATAGATAGTGACTTCTAGTACATACTGGCACTGGACTCTGTTACCTATCTTAAAATGTCCTGATTTATATGCAAAGTAGGTAGGACTGGAATCTCCTGGTCATATTCATAATACATACACTTTTTCCAATGGAAATACTCATATTAGTATAATGAAACAAAACAATGGAAATAACGTCTAAACCTACCTTTGCAAAAATAGGAGGAAAATTATCATGTAAATATCTGTCCATTTTTACAGCCACAGTATATTACTTCTCATTTAACATTACCAATTTTGACTGTTCTTAATGTGACATAATAAAATTTTATTATTTGATATTTACTAATGTGAAAAATTAAAGATAACTTGTTTATTACAAATAGTCCTCAACTTACAACGGTTCATTTAGTGACCATTTGAAGTAACAACAGCACTGAAAAAAGTGAGAAGACTATTTTTCATACTTACCACTCTTGCAGCATCCCCATGGTCACAGGATAAAAATTCAGACTCTAGCCAACTGATTTATATTTATGACGGTTGCAGTGTTCTGGGGTCATGTGATCGCCTTTTGTGAACTACTGATCAGTAAAGTCAGTGGAGAGGCCAGATTCACTTAACAATTGTGCTACTAACATAATAACAGTAGTGATTCACTTAACAACTTTAAGCATGTGCTCGCCGGAACCCAGAAGAGCAATGGGCGACAGCTGGTGTGCCTGGAGAGATGGCTCTGCGTGCCACTTCCAGCACACGTGGCATAGGTTCACCATCACGGTCCTAGAATATAATCATTTTTCAAATACCTATCAAGATTCGGAAGAGTTTAGGATTGCTGTTAAATAAATGTAGGTTTAAAATTAATTTGAATTATGATATTTTTGATATCAATATAAAATGGTAACATCCTCCTCCCTGCTCATTCTACTCCCTCCTCCCCATCTTTTAATTATAGTTGATAATTTCTATTTTTATAGTATTTTATACTTATTGTATGAATGTTTTGATATTGTTTTATTTTTTTAACATTGTAAGCTGCCCAGAGTCACCTAGTGGTGAGATGGGTAGCCAACAAATTTAATAAATAAATAAATCTAAAAAATGTAGCATTTAATAAGATTGTGTAGACTTTCCATATCCACACTATATACTGTATGTATGACATGAACTGGATTTCTTTTATTTTGCTATATTGTCACTTTCTAGGTCTTGAAGTGGAAACAGTATGAATATTTTTCTTACAATATATGAATAATAATATTCCAGCTTATCTGGAATAACTTGTGGCTATACAGCTGACTACAGATGAACAAGGAAAAGTTCAATGAAAAATATAATCATTACTTCATAGGTCTCTGGGCTACCTGCCTTGATTTGTGGAAGGACTAGAGTAGAGAAAGAAATCCTTCCATCTCTGCCCTTGGCTTTTTAAGACTATTTTGTGGATCAAAGCTTTAAAACAAGTGTTACCTTGAATATAGCCTTATACCAGTAAAAGAAAAAACAAAACCTCTGAATGCAGTCATATTTATTTGAGTGACATTAATAAAATTACTTAAGTAAATGGACAATACAGTTGCATCTTTTATGCTTGGTGATGATATTAAATTGTCATGTCTGTAAACAGTTCTAATTACTGAAGTATATAAAGGTATGTGGAAAATTTCCAAACTTAAATAATTCTAACGGGCGGGTTAAATTTATTTATTTATTTATTTGATTTGTTTGCCATACATCTCGCCATGTATGCTTAATTATAATGTTAAGCATAGTCTGGTTTCTCATAGTCTTTCTCACATATATAATATGTAATGCATCTTCCATCTCTTAATTAAGAGTTGGATGTGGTGGTGTTAAGCGAACTTCCAAATCAGATCTTCCAGTCTTCAGAGTCTATCATCAGTGTGTGCTATTGTACTGGCTAACTGGTGAAATATCAATCATTTTCAAGAAATGTTCTCAATGTATGAGCGGCAGGTAGCATGGCCAATCAAACACTATCTTTATAGGTACATGGCCAACAATATACTGGAGCAGAGATAGTCCCACTTCACTTACTCTCCAGTATTTTCCTTTGCCATCCTACTTCAAGGACAGAGTTTAATTTTCAGCAGTCTGTTGTTTATGTACTCTGTTCTGATATAATTAAAATGATCATGGCTTCTGCTGTGTGAATTAGGTAGCCAAACTTGGCATAACATTTTTACAGTGTATGCTGATAATGCAAAAGAGACACCTGAGGTAGAGCTAGAGAAGTCAAAGAAGAAGGGAGAACCTTAGTAGCAGAACCGTGTAATGGGGGAGTGAGGTTAGGAGATAAGAAATGAAAAATAACAAAAAGGAAAGATAATTGAACACACATTTTAAAGTTGCCAAGTTTGAGAAACAGAGATCAAGTGGCATAATACAGCTAAAATAATTAAGATAGCATAGGCTGGCACTCCTGAGAACACTTTTGCCCAACTCCTATAAACCTTTTTTATGGTTTTTATTTTATTATAACACTACGTGTGGGAAATGAGTTGTATTAAAGTTAAATAAGTTTCAAAATGGATAATTCTAGTGACTGGAATCCAGATTTAGGTAAACGAAACAGGTTTTGTAGAAGCAGCTTTACATCTCCCTTCTCCTCACAGAGAAGTAAAATACTACTTAGACATTTTGGTAGTTATGCTGAATAGAAAGCCTGGAATGACACAGATCCATACAAATTGAGGAGATTTTCCCTCGGGGAAGCAGAGTTCCAGTCAAGCAGTGTTCCCATCTTACTTGGTGAAAGGGAAAGGTAGAGAAAGTTGCTTTTGCAAAATCAGCTGCATGTATTTAACATTTAATTCAATCTTGAATTAATTGACATTATTAATATTGAATAATATTAATATTTGTTAACAAGTGTGTTACTGTGCACATATTTGTTATATTGCATAAGAAATGCTGACATTTCCCAGCATTAAGAAGGGCAAAGAAAAAAAATGCATCTGCTCCAAGAATGGAGCAGCTTATTCACTTACAGGTTTATTAATCACTTTTCTTACAAAACAAAAAACAAAAATCTTTCATTTGGAAAAATGCAAATGTGGAAGTAATTATTCAAGATATTTTTAAAGCACTTTTAAGAAAAGAAGATGAATTGCAGTACTGTCAGCCTCAAACTAAAATACAGCAATGTTGGCACAAAGATTGTTTCCGTTTGCTTCAGTTTCTGCAGTCTTGTTTTGGTTTCCACCAAACAGAAAATTTTGGTGCCTTCAACTTTATCTTGTGTTTGTTACTGTAGATCTGTATAAACTTCTGTCTTTGTCTTTAATGTGGCTCATAGATGTGAGAGATACATATATGTATATGTATATATGCATATAATGCTTATTATGTTTGCTTTGTCCTGACTTGAGAAATCAAAGCATACTTTCTTGTGACCAGAATTCTTAATAAAAATTATGTGTTTCTGTTGCTTTTGCTAATGGGCTATGTTTCTGAATTTAAAAAGATAAATAAAATGTTAATGATTAGTTTAGTTGCCGTTTCTGTCCATACAAGAACAGTTGAGCAGGAACAAAGAACTTAAAAATGGATTAAGAAATTATTTTTAGCATTTAATTTAATGTGTTGTTTTAGTAAGTGCCTTTTAAGTGTAATCATTTTGTGAATTAACAGAAAACCCTACAGATTTGCTCTAAAATTAATTCCATTTAATTTGGTGAGGCTTACTTCTAAGAAAATTAGACTAAAATGTTTCTTTTCTTCTGTAAAAAAAATTAATTTGTAATGCTTAGCAAATTGACTTCTGGTAATTTTTTATCCCATTGATTTTTATAGAATTTACTTTTAAGTACTTATAGGGTGATGCAATATTATAATTCTAATAGGTTTTCTTAGGAGTAAGTCCCACTGGCCAAAATAGGTTTTTATTTTCTATGAAAAAAGCCTAGTTGTAGTCATATTGGTAGTGAACATTGTAGGTGTTTACTTTCAGATACTTTGTTTAATTGAATTTCCCATTTTGAGCCAAGTATCTGAAACCGTCTTTAGTTTCTCCTGTAAAATATTATGTCAGTAATCCCCGCCCCCTTTCCATTCAGTCATGTCCGATTCTCTTTGATTGTCTGGACAAGCCCCTGGAATTTTCTTAGTAAGGTTTTTTCAGAGGTGGTTTGCCATTGCCTCTTTCCTAGGGCTGAGAGAAAGTGAATAGCTCAAAGTCCCCCAGCTGGCGGAACTTGAACTCACAGTCTCCACAGTTTCTAACGTTGTCTTAACCAATAAATGTCAGTAATAATTTCCTTTAAATAATGCTAAGGTATTTTGGACATTACCTGCTGTTTGCTAAAAAATTCAGATGAAATGTAGTATTGTATGAAATGTCCCCATAGCATTAGAAAATTAGTTTACTAATTAGTTTATGACACATACAGTAAATCATATTCAATTTCAGAATCAGTCAATAGAATGATTAAAAATGCAGAAAGTCATTATTACCAGCTAACCTTTCTATAGCTTACTTTGTTTTGGAAATGTGTCTTATTTTCAGACTGGAGATTGGGGTGAACCATCTATTACATTGAGGCCTCCTAATGAAGCTACAGGATCAACCCCAGTACAATACTGGCAGCATCATCCAGAGAAACTCATTTTCCAGTCATGTGATTACAAAGCATTTGTAAGTTAGTCAAACAGAATGTTTCCATGCAAACAGCTGAAAATTGCTCAACTTAGGGGAGGCAATTGGATTGTTAACAAGATGGCTAATTATTTTCTCTCCCTAATATAAACAGTAGCAGTGACTAGGTACAGGGTAGTTCTTGCACCACAACCATTTGTTTGGTGATCATTTGAATTTTTAGTGGCACTGAAAAAGTGACTTTTTCACAGTTAAACCACTGCAGCATCTCTGTGGTCACTTGACCAGAATTTGGACAAATAGTAACTGGCATTATTTATGATGGTTGCAGTGTCCCAGGGTCATGTGATCACATTTTGCAACCTTTTGACCAGCAAAGACAATGGGGAAGCTACAACTGCAATGATTCACTTTAACAACTATGGCAAGAAAGGTCATAAAATTTTATTGCTTAGCAATAAAAGATTTGGGCTCAATTGAGGTTGTAAATCAAAGATTACCTGTATTGCTTGTATGATTGAAATGATTTCAACAAGAATTTCCAGTGTTATGAATATTTAGAGTTCTAGAATTATAAAATTCTAAAAGTATATGTTTGGGGGAGAGGTGGTGGGAAATGTGTATTATTTATTTATTTAGCAAATTTACTTATTCATTCTCACAAAAATATACAACAAAACAGTTAAAAACAAATATAAACAACTATAAAAATAAAAATTAAGATTGAGGGGGAATAGACACATTCTAAGCATAATTCAAGCATTCTGCAAGTTCCCTGCTTCCATGATTATTGGGAAAATGTGTTTAAAAGGCCTTACGGAAAGCTGGTAGAAATGGGGCTAACCTCACCTGTCTGCATTAACATGACCGAAAAGGGTATTTTGGGGTTAATTAACTATCCAAATCAGAGCAAAGGAGTGGCTATGCAAGGAAGGAGAACAAAAATGGGGAACAAAATTAGTTGAAGATGAGACCCAGGGAAAGGGCCAGGGGAGAAAAAGACACCTTGCTCAAACATTACGAAAAAGTTGAAATTTTACCATTTCAGATCCATTTACCCAGGTAGGCAGTTCTTCAGAATATTTTAAGAACATCATGACTATTCAGTACAAAAAATGGAATAGCAAATTCTGCTTCAAAACATAAATTATTTACACTTTTTAACGAAAGAAAACAAATTATTTGTATATCCTTTAAGTATTTAGGTTCTATGCTGGTAAAAGAATTAAGAGGTACAGAATCTACACAAGATGCCTGTGCAAAGATGAGGGTGAGTAAGCCATTACTCTTCAAAATTATTACAGGAGACAAACGTATAATTTGAAAAGCTTACAATATTATTATTATTACCGGATCTATTTCCTACCTTTAGTTTGTTCAACTCGCATTGATGTAAATAATATGATTATTTTATACAAAACAGTAAAGAATTGTAGGTATCTTTGGGGAGGGCATTAGAGATAGAGGTAATGATGCCCATATCCCCCTATTTTCCCCATAACAATATCCTGTGAAATGAATTGGGCTGAGAAACAGTGATGGCTTAAAGCTAGCTAGGTAGCTTTTGTGCCTATGGGAGGACTAGAACTTACTATCTGCTAGTTTCTAGCTCAGTACTTTAGCAACTATATCAGTAGCTCTGTCATGCAAGGGCTTCACTTAATTAATTTTTCCAAATTAAACAAGATGTGCTATATATGGTATCAAAGGTCCATCTTACCCATCCAGGTTGGCAATACTGGCATTGGGGATAAGGGTGGGTAGTTGGACTGTAGATGGATGGTGATGTGCTGATTGGTGGGCTGCTTCATTATCTCATCTTCCTTGGACAGTGCAGAATTGAATGTTTTATTATCTAACACAACATGCCAGTGGACATGATCTTCTTTTCCCTTTAATAAGGCATCAAAGAGAAGTCTGGCCTGCTTAGAAGTCCACCAAATAAAATTTTGTATTTGAAGCATAGCACTGGGTTCTAGACATCTAAGCTTTTCTTCTTGGATAAACTTACTTACTTCTCCAATATCTGATTCACTTCCACAGCCAGGAGCTTTTCTATCAGGGAAAATTGTAATTGTTCTCCTTCAACCTTTGCTCACAAATGCTGGTAAGCGTGAATGCTTGCATATCATTTAAGAATTTCAACCAATGATTCAGGAATAAGTTAGGATCAGCTATGTTAGCTGAGGTTGCTGGAGTTCTGATACAGAAGTATCTGGGATGAGTTAAGTTGTTGTGCTTGTATATTAACATCATTTTCTTGACCTGATGAATGATTGTTTACTCATTTTTGGATAGTTATTTTGCAATGCCTTAATTAGGTAAATTATAAATATTTTAAACAATAAACAAAATTTACTTTCTTCTATAGAAATTATTATATAATCTATCTATATAAAACTACCTATAATGATCTTCCTACAGATTTTTGCAATTCTTCATTGTTTTGTATAAAATGATCAGTAATAGTATTTTGTATTTTTTTAAAATACAAAGAAAGATTCTGGGTGTGTTGTATTCCATTAAATATGTAACCTAGAAAGCTGACTAGGAGTCATTGAATGGTTTGAACCAGCGGTATCAAACTCACGTCGTCATGTGATGTATTGCGACTTTTCCTCCTTTGCTAAAAACTGGGGTGGGTGTGGCCAGCATGTGACGCATCTGGCCCGTGGACTGCAAGTTTGACATCCCTGCTTTAGACTAATTTTCTTTCATGGGTGAAGTCCATCCAAAGATAGTGAAGCCTATCCTTGAAGATCATTCCTGAGTGGTGGTGCCATGAAAATTATCTTTTTTTACAGTAAAAGTGACACAAAGCATAAATATGAAATGCCCCTCTTTTCCTCAAGCATATCATGGTTTTATAATAATAGGAAAAGAGTGGTATAAATGACAATGGAGAACCCTCCCAACACCTTTACACCAAAAGGCTTCTTTCCTAGAAATTTCACTATCAGGTGCTTATTCTGCTAAAATAAATCTATTTAAAGCATGAATAACATGGAGGTCTTCTAATTCAACCTCCTGCTCAAGCAGGAAATTCTATACCATTTCAGACAAATGGTTGTCTGAGTCTCCTCTTAAATGCTTTTTATTTATCATACATTTAATCATAAATCGTTAAATGACAAATAATTGCACTCTGCCAGTTGTCGTAGCAAAAAATAATTAATTTCAAAATGGTAAACTTTGCAGACCTAGAAATCAAATAGTTTAATGTAAGCACCAAAATAGAATATGTTGATTCAGTTATAACTGTTAGTTTCTTGTTCAAATATTTCTGCTGTTAACTGTTACAGAATTAGGGCAAATACACTCAGTTCTGTGTTATCTTCTTGCCTGAAAGGAAACCTCCTCCATGCACACTTTAAAATAAATTAAGACAGAGCCCTTTTCCCTCTAGCATCTGGTGGGTATACTTTGACTATTTTCTTATAGTTACAACAGATAATAGGTGTGCAGTGCTTCAGATGCAAAGAAAGCATGTGTTTTGAATGAACAGAGGTTCAAAAGTAGTACCTGTATGCAGTTCCTGAAAGCAGCCACACCTTTTGGGGGGAATTGTTTGGCTGCCTTTCCTATCTGCCACATAATCACAACAAAAGGCAGATTTGGCTTAGTTTGCTGCAGATAGCTATCCCATACTTGTCTTTTTGCTCTGAAACGTTTTCTGTCTTTTGATGAAGCACTGCACAACCATAGCAGGTAATGTATTATTTATTTATCTTGATGAGAAAAAAGGAAATAACAGAGTTCCCCGATCATGTTTATGTTTGTTTTTAATTTTAGAAGTCTACCGAACAAATGAAGAAAGTTCCTACTATTGTTCTATCTGTCTCTTACAAAGGAGTAAAATTTATTGATGCAACAAATAAGGTAGGTATCATTTCTTGTTTCATTTTAAGTAGTTGCAAATAGCTGCTGTCCATCCCTTTCAACAGCAAATTATTATCATTACATTTTGAAAATGATCAAGTTTTTTCTAGGTGAAGCTATGATAAGCTATGATGTTTTCATCAGATGCATGAAATCATAGCCTTACAAAGTTATTGTTATATCAATATTAATGAGAGAATGTAGTCTCATAGGCAGTAAATTTTGTATTAAAGGTAGAATAATGTAAGTATTTGTGTCATTCAATATAAAATCAAAATCAAAATGGTCAGTACAAATCCAGAACTACTTGCTGTCACTGACATTTCTTTGCTAGTATATTTTTCAAATCTACCTACAATCATTGTGCAGGACACTACATGCTATCATAGGACTTTAGTAGAGAACTTTTTTAAAGAGAAACTATCCAACTTAAACACACACACACACACACACACACACACACACACACACCTCGATGCAGCCAAAACTACAGATACCCCTCCACTTTCCCAAAGAATCCCAATTAATCATGAAATAAGTTGAAATGGACATAAGTAAATGGCATCAGCAATCAGCCATGTTTTGTTTCAAACACTTTGCTTTTCATGTATGACTGAACATACTATAAAACAATTGAAAGTGGTCAGTACCAATAATTATGTCAACACCCATTTCATTTGTTTTATTTTTGTTTTGTTTATATTCCCCTTTGTGATGTAGCTGTCTAATTAAATCACAGGTTAAATTTCTCATTGTTATAAGAATGTCTAAGCTATCAGACATAAGCAAAGATATTCATATTTAGTTCACAAACTATATTGATGATTTTTGTCAAATTTTAACCTAAAACGTTAGTGATCTATCTATTCACAAGTTGACTAATGTTGCAGCAGTTTGGCTTAAGGTAAACATCTGGCTTTGTCCATTTTATGTATATTTGATCAGTTAATATTGTTTCATCCAAGTGATAATTTTACTGTCCAATACTATTTCTTTTTTAATACATACTATCCGGGCCAGCTTCAAAATAAGATGCATAAGGTATTGAAATTTCATGAACCTGCTTGTGTCTATGTCTGTTTCCTTGAAATAATCACAATTTTTACATACATTTCCAACTTAAATACAAATGGAGCTTATTGGGGCTCTTTCATTGTTCCTTTACTTTGATAATTGGAATATCTTATATTACCTTGAGGAAAAAAATTTTTTTAAAGGAAGTTTTTTTCATTGTAATTTCAAAGGAGGTAAATTATCTATTCTTTTAAAATTCATGATATCTCTGGGAATCACCTGAGAAACAGGAAAGAGTTGCATGATTATAGCAGTAGTCCGATAGGTATACAGAAGGAAGGATAAATGGCTAGGTGCATGCCTTGGTCCACAGTTCATTGCAGACTGGTGTACTGTATATTTTCTTTTAATGTGGCTTTGATTGCATCAAATGGCTCGTGTGATCTGCTTTGTTGGGGCGGGGGTGGGAGTTGGGGGGTGATTTTTAATTTATTTTTTTCCAGATTTTGTTCTATTGTACTTTATTAATTTATTTGATTCTTTTTGATAGTTTTTATTGTTTTTTGTTTTAAATATGGTTTTACATTCTGTAATCCGCTTTGAGTCACCATGGGCGAATAGGCGGCAATATAAATTCAATAAATAAATAAATAAATAAAATTTTCCACTTTATGTTCTTTTATGATTAAACTGTCATTAAAAACTAGCTGTTACATCACGAAGGCCCTCCAGAACACTGGAACTATTGGGAAATGTCAGTCCCTAAGAACTCCTATCGCTTCATAGGTATAGGCCAGCACCTTAAATTGCATTTGAGGCTAACCATGTACATTGCTGTGTTGCAACATTGGACACAACTATGTGGAATTAATGAAAGAGACAATGACTTTGTCTGCTTTTTAGTAAAAGTAGCTTGGATATTTTATTCATTTATTTAATTTGCTTTGCCTATTTTTTTTGAAGATTTTATTGAGGTTTCTTATAATATAAAGTACAGTGAAAATAAAGATTAAACAGTAGAAGAAAAAGGAGGGGCAGAATTAAAGAAAAAAGAGACTTCTGACTCTTCCCAGTACAGTAAAATGCTTACTATATTTACAGCCTCAACATTTTGTTATTTCAAGCCAATATTTAGTTACATTTAGCTATACAAGCCATTTCTATACTACATTATTCAATCATCAAATCTAAGTCTAATTTTTTTCCATTTTGAACATAAAAACCAGAAGCAATTTCCCAAAGTTGTTGAGAATCAAAGCAAGTTGGAAAATTGTCTCTTAGCTTAGTTTGGTTCTCAAGAACACTAGGTAGCATACAACGAAAAACAAAAGGAAAAGGGGAAAAAAGGCTACATTTACAGCTCTAAATCATAGATTAGTTATATTTTACTTACATTGAATCAGAACTAGATTTATAAGTCCCACGATTTTAGGGGGAACAGAGGGGGGATTTGAATTAAAGGATTCAAATTTTAACAGACCTTTCAGTGAAATAGAACTAAGTTGGAAATGTACATTAAAAATGACAAAGCTTATTAAAGCTATTCCAGTTTCTGGTTTTGGCACAAATACTTCTTCTAATTTAATTCCCTTCTGAGAATATTGAAGACTTTTTCTTAACAGTATTGCTAATGGATTAATATCCTAAGGCAACAAATATGGTTTCATTTGGAGAAATATATTCAGTGTAAACATAATAACAATCCATAGTGTTTTAATCCAACAGTTTTGAAAGAAGCAGTAAAAGGAATTAAAAAACCTGAAATACTGTTTTGCCAACAGTAGTAGCATAGTATTAAATAATTTTAACCAAAATGTTAATTTAAAGAATTTTAAAAATTAAAGCTTACTAATGTGATTGTGACATTTTGTAGGTAAAATATATGTACGGTAGAATAATAGTTGCTTAGATTTAATGAAATAAATGACATTTTTAATGAAAAACACTCATAAAATGGATGTAATAAAGATAATAATTTTGTAATATTAAAGACTGAGTGGTTATGTAGATCCTTTGATGACAGATTTAGTTTTATTTATATAGGTTTATATTTTCTAATGCCTGTTGCAAACCATCTAGAGTCCTATTGGATTGAGGTGGTATATAAATTTCATGAATAAAGTAATAAAATAAATATTTATGTTACAGTAATCTGGATCGTATTACTCAGTTTATATGGTTCAGTAAATTATCTTCATACTTCTGTTAAATATGTACGTATGGCACCATAAATTAACTTATATATCATTTTATATATTCCATTTACTGATTCCTAAATTTAAAAAAGAAAGTCTGAAGAAAGATTCTGTATCATTTACTCTGACAACCGAATATATTTATGAACTAATAAATTTTGGCTTTTTATCTAATAGAGGAATTAAATATAAATCATTAAACTGTTACATGATTTGCATATTAACAACCAGTAACAAATCTGTAATATAATGCTGTTCTTTCTTATACAATCAGTAATCTAAATTATCTACCATATCCTTTCTGTTCTCAGTGTCATTAGAACAGGTTAAAACCTCATGTTCAGTAATTAACATGCAAAGAAAAACTTAAAAGTTTGTAGATATTTCTACAGTATCTTACTATTTTTAAAGATATTTTAACTTTCAATATCACTTGAGATGGGAATAATGATTTAATGAATTTAGTCATAAAATTAAATGTTTAGAAACACAGAACAACGAAGGAAATAACACTTTTTGCTTATTGCTGAAGTTAAATACAGCTACGCTTGCTTATTATTTTATTTGTATTAGCAACAGTGTAAAATCTAAATATTATAAAACATTAGGAACTAGATTGGATCATTAAATATATACAATTATTTCTTTTCTTTACATTTAGAATATTATTGCTGAACATGAGATTCGTAACATTTCCTGTGCCGCACAAGACCCCGAAGACCTCTCAACATTTGCTTATATTACAAAAGACTTGAAGACAAATCACCATTACTGTCATGTGTTCACAGCCTTTGATGTGGTTGGTCTATAATTTTTTTCTATGTGATAGCTAAGAAACCATGACATTTCCTGTGTCATTTCAGTTATGAAGAAGGTTGTTTGGAGCAGTTCTGGTACTGATGTGTACATGGCATAATAATCACTATTTAAAATTTAATATAAATGCTTCATATTATTTTGATGTTACAACTAAGTTCCCTTTTAAAAAGGAATATATTGCAACTATCCAATGAAAGCAAGAGGCTAATGAAAAGTTAGGAAGGATCAGTATAAACATCTACTTTTTCACAATGGCCTTCTAGATGCCCATGGAAGGTTCAAAGTATGAAGTGAGCATAATATTTTCCCAATAACTAATGTTGTACAAATAAAGCACACTGCTTCTGATATTAGAAATAATGTTCAATCAACATCTAGTGAGCCATGTGCTCCATTAATCTCCCTTGAAGCAAGTGCAGACATTGCTATATATTGGGACAGCAGATTCCATAGGAGAGTGAGGTATTTTGTCATGAATCATGCAGCAAAATGGATGTCCATCTGCAATTACAGTCCTGTATGTGCACCTAGAAGATCAGACAACAGAGAGAAGGTCTTAAAGCCATTATACTGAGTCCTCGATAATATATGGCACTTATTATTCCTTTGAGGTAGTCCAAAGAAGAAGCTCTACTAGGACTATAAGCATTACCTTTATTGTAAGGTTACATCAAACAAAAAATTCCAAGTCTGAAAGTATTTCTCCTTTCGTCTCTTTAATCTCTGGAAAACTAGGAAGGACCCCCTTTGAACTGCTTTTCCGATTTTCCTCCAGTTGTACACTGAGCTGTCTCTAAACAGATTGTTGCCTAGGCTATGGGTTTTCCTCCTGTTCTCCCAAAGTCATTTCCACATACCACCATCACACTTCAATACTTTGAGTAATGGGTTCAAAAAGTGCTCCTCCAAATGAAGTGCATAGCACTAGCCTGTGTACAGAGTCTCCATCCTCTCAAAGAAAATTGAATATATAAAACTTGAAATTTGAAAACTTGAAAACATGATCAGGGGAACAATGTGCACCATAGGGATGGTGGAAATACCTGAGCTGCATCCAATCTTCTGGCACCTCAACAGATGATGTTTGCTAATCATCAAATGGATAAATTTTAGATTTTCCCTCCCTTTAAATTGCAATTGTAAGGATGGGGTCAGGAGGCCTTTTGATGGTGAACAATCTCATTCTTAATCAGAGATATAGGTTTTTCAGGGTCAAAGTTTTTCAGGTAAATTTAGCAGTTTCACAATTATACAATACTTGCTTCACAGGTGTTCATTCTAAAAAAAATCAAAAAGCAACAGCAGCAGGGATTTCTGGCTCCAATGATTGGAATAGCTAGAAGTAATCAGCTAGAGAAGCTAAAGAAAAATCAGAGACAAGTATCTCTTGTTCTCCTTTAGCACCCATGTGAACAAACTATGAACTTCCTGCAGGCAACTTCCTGCATGTGCCTTCTCAATCCTGGCATTTCAATTATTACCCTGGATAATGGGTATTCTTGAAAGGGTCATGTGCTGGTAATCCCCATCTTAGGCCTGAATCACACAACAATAAATGTATGGCATTATTATGAAGAAACTATTTCAGGTAAGAAGAAGATTGCCAAGAAGAATATTCCAATAACACTTCAAGGATGAAGAAGGATTTAGGATAATGAACATACATCATTTTTGTTTCTAAAAATGGGATGAAGCAAAATCATCTGAAAGAAGCCTCCATCAAGAATCCTATGTAAGTACATTGACTGTTTGCTAGGTTATTTTAATTAATATTTGATTTGGCTAAGTAGTGGTCCCAGCACTTACCATGACTTACAAAAATGATTTTAAAAAGCAAGTGAGAATTTAATTAGATTATATAAAGTTAAGTCTTAATCCAAAGTTTTCTTCTGGCTGGAAATAGTATGGATTCCTTTGCTACATTTGACCTTAGACTTGAGCAAAGAAATTATATAAAAGCTTCATACTCTGGATAAGTTATCTGGTATAGATGTGCAGTATTTTCTTGATGTAAAATGCAAAAATAAAGCTTGTTTACTGCAGCTTTTCTTTTAAAAAAATTGTTGTTCTAATGGGGGGAAGAAACCGATAAAAATATTAATCCCGTTGCTTTATTGCAGGAACTTGGTAATGCAAGTAATACTTTGAGAAATCTTGAACTTCAAAGATTAATTACCAGATGTACTATCCATTTTAAGTTCATGTCAAGATGGTCAATTGACCTTTATTGAAAAAATGTTAAAAGAAGATCAAGGAAAAATAGACAAGACGTTGGCTAGAACTATATTTGCAGGCAGCGTGCCTCCTGTTGTGACTGGAAACCATTTCTGGAAGGAACATTATGACCTAATTTGCCCAACATATGAAGTACCATCTCTATTGTTCTATTGCTTACTTTACTGCTCAATGTTTGTTTCTAACATTCCAATAAATTTTTTCTCTACTTATTGAAGCTTTTAGTGTATTTCTAAGGTTGAAAGTTCATGAAATAGACTAAATGCAATATTTTTCAGACCAAATAGCATACTGTAAATGCTAATACATATTAGGGAAATTGAGACAAATGTGCTTAGAAAAAAAAAATTATTTCGGGAAAATGCACATCTCTGTTTATCCTTCCTCATATATCTCTAAAAATGACCCAGAATCATGCCAAAATGATTAAAATTAAGCTTTGTGGTTTTGGTTTTTTGTGAACGTCTGTATGTGTGCATGCGTGCATGTATGTATGGAGCCTAAGGACTCCAAAAAGTGAACTATTCCTATTCCCAGGCATTTGGCCATCCCAGTAACAAAAGTAAGCCAAAAATGTCAATCATATCTGTTCCAATGTTAATATGCTGTCAATCCTTGTGATGTTATGAACATGAGAAAGTCTTGTTAAAGAAAATTGATATTCATAAAACAGATCTCATACAAAGGCTTTTTTGCCTAGTAAATGTGTTAAGACAGCATGTGGTCATTTGTTTTTCCCCTATATTAGTAGTAAGTTGAATCTATCAGGATGCACATCTTGAGAATTCAAATGTATATCTCAACGTTTTAGAAATCTATTTTCCATCAGGTATAGCCAGTGCTATAAACTGTCAATAATGAGACAAGATGAATGCATTATAAAATATTGCATTAAAATTTTCCTAGGTAGTTATGTTGGCCAATTTTAATTATAGGCAGAATATTTGCAGGACAAGTGTGCAAGAACTTCAGGTTTCTCAAAATATGTTTTTTTTCCAATAGATATTTAAAAATTAGACAAAAATATTTGCACACCTTTATTATGAGTCTCTGCTTTCCATAATAAAGGAGGGTAGGAATATCTGCCTGCCTGCCTGTCTTATCTGTGAATCTCCTAGAATAAAATCTGAGCATATGAGGAATAATTTTAAAGCTCCAGTTCTACAAAGAATATTTTATGTAGTTTTTGCCAGCTTAATATTCAGATAACTCCTCTCTCTTTCCTATATGCTGCAGTCATTAACTGAAATTGTAAAAGTAATCAGGCTTTGTCTGAAGCTCTCAGATCTCATTACTCAGATAAATACAACAAAGAGGCCATTGAGTCTGCCTGGCACACTCATGATACAAGCTATTTTTCTTATGTAGTTCTATGCCACGGTCCCCAACCTGTGGCCCAGCCCGCTGGCTCAGTGCCTGGTTGCAACCCCTTCGGAACTGGGCTGCGGAAGTGGTGTGCAAGTGTGCAAGCTGCATTTGTGAAAGCAGTCCACAGGCGTTCAAAACAGTCCCCTCTCACCCCAGTGCTGCTAGCGCAAAGATTGGGGAATGCTGTTCTATGCAACAAGTCATCCTTTTTAAGAATCACTGGGATTAGAAATCAATATTTATGGATGGGTGCATGTTGAAGAAACTTTTCTGACTACATACAATTCTGTACAAGTGAAATAATCCACCTGAGGATTTTTATGCATAGGCAGAATATCTTGAATATTCATGCTTGTACTTGCCTGAATATCCGGTTTATATAATATTTTGAAAATTTTGAAAAATTACATTTTAATGATATGGTTTGAGAAAAACTTACATGAAAAAATAATGTGACACATATAAAGAAAGGGCTGGATTTTATTGGGTTCACTGACATTTAAAAGCACATGGTTTTTTGGGCACAGAATAAGGAAGAAGCTGTCTATAGCTACTATTCTCTGGTTGAGTTATGGTTAGGTTGGGCTCTACAGTGGAAGCAGAACCCACAACCTCTCAGACCCCCTTATCAAGTATTTTATCCTGTAACTAGGTGGAGGAATTTGCTGCTTCTTCATGACAAAATAACTGGGAGTTAAGACTTATTTTCACATTGCAATGAGTAGCTAGTAACCACCAGTTCTGCATATAGTTCACAAAGCTCCATAAATTCAGTCTATCCAAGCATATAGTGCTGCATTCTGGGACAAAAAATGATTCGTTCAAAATTTTAGTGTATTGACAAAAAAGGATAAAGCAATATTTTCTGTGAGGTAAGCATTCTAAGCCTTTGTATCTCAGGTTAAAAAGCCAGTGAAATTTGCCATAACTATATTCCTTAAATGCTGATAAAATGTGAATTTTTATCTTAACAATAGTGCTGTTTATCACTGGCTATCAAATAATTTGTGAGTTAAAATGCTGGGTTTTTTTTTTTTTTTTGTATTCCTGTGTTCTGTGAGCAAATGTTCAGTGTGCCTAAAACTTGAAAAATGAGTTTGTACTGTAGTCTGACTTTCCCACTGAATTTTCAATAGTTTACTCTTTATTCCGAGGCTGCTGTAGAACATTCTAATCCAGTAATCAGTACATAAATATAAATATGTTGCCAAAATGGATCAGCATATATCACATGTAATTCCATGGAATAAGTTTCATAATTGGTTAAATAAAAATATTAACAAAATATATACAAACATATACCACCTACATCAATATGTGTAAACCTTGTCTATCACAACTGGCTGAGAATGAAAAACAAATACTATTTAACAATGTACAATTTTGTAATCACTAGCAAAATAAATATTACAAGACTAGTAGATAAGTTTGCTGTTGCAGTTTCTTCTTAAAAATCTATGTCCAACACACCAAAATATAAGCAGTCTGGGTGATTAAGGTTCAAGAATCCTGGGGAACAAGAGGCAGGGATGCTCCATATGAGCCTTTTCACATTTAAGATGTGTAACGTTATGTGGGAAAGACTTGGGAGACTGGGCAAAGAGATGCTACCAAGGGAACAACCAGATAAGAGACAGCATAGCCCGCAACTGGGGAATGGATGGGAGAAGATGCTGAGAAGAGACCCTGCTTAGTTTCTTGGGCTATAAAGGAGACCAAGGGAAAGTGGATGAATTGCATTTTCAGACTTCAAGATTCTTACAATGTAGCTTTATAATAAAGTAGAATTTGCTCACCTGGTTGCGATTCCTATCTGGTTTACCTCAGGACAAGAGAAAAGTTATTAATTTAACAGATAAATAAACAAACCTAAATTTTAGTATATAGTTTTAGTAACTAATCTGTGGAGTCTGCTTGCTTCATTCCTTGATGTTGATGACTGGATAGTGATAAATGATAAATTGTAAAAACAATTGCTGTCTCCTGTTGCAAGATTAATCCAATTTACAAAAATATATTTAATATCTTTAAAAGTTTCATTTGGAAGTATTACTGCTTACAAATAATGAAAGTTTCAGGAATCTCCCATTTCATGGCCAGTGTGATGAGAGCATTTATGAATGGGTTTATGAATATTAATTTTAAGATTGTGGTGAAATAAGCTAATGTACAGTTGCTATCTGTGTAAAGAATTGCAAGTTTGCAAAACATCTTTTTATCATTTTTGTTATTGTCTAGATTTCAATGTGGATTATGATGTTTTATTTTACGCAGTAACCTATAAAAATGTAGACATGGTGATTTCAATTGACATGACCAAGTAAAAATAGATAGTTGAAGCTCACAGTACTTAAAGTGATAATAAGTATAAATAAATAGGAAGATGAGTTTCTCTTCACTTTTTACTTACCAAATAATTAGGAGGGGATTATCTGCCATTAACTGGTAATAGAGGATCCTATTGAAAATAAAGAGGTAACTGGGAAGAAGTAATTAAATTGGGATGAAAGGAGAGAAACAATGTTTACACTTCAGCTTTCCCCCTCACTTTCTCTCCATCTAGTTTTGTTCTGTTTCCTTTCCTTCTCCCTTCCTGGTGCAATTTCCTCTTCCCTTCCATACTGTCCCTTGTCCATTTGTCATTATAGTTTCTGCTGGAAGAAGGAAGGGGAATGTGTGGTGTATACTCGTGAGTTTCTGATTATGACAGTATTAATTTTATAAATGGGAGAATTAATTTTAAAGACAATAAATTTGTTGGTTGTGGCCTTACCTATTTTTACAGTTAACTTCTGACAGATACAATATACTCATACATGTATATGCATATGACTATGATACAGAGACAGACACATTCACATTAGGTGGTAAGAGTGTTCTCCAGGATTGCTTTTAGGCAGAATTGGTAATCCTATGTTGAAAAGCTGGTGGAGCTGGATAGTGCACAGAATTGTTAGGGTTCTACCCCCCCCCGCCTCTTCATAGGGGAGGGTGCATTTTGAATTTAGGGTCCTTTTTCTTCCAGGTAAATACAATATTGTTTTCAGAATTCCGTATATTCAGTATATCCTACGCCCATTATCTTTCTACAGATAGCATGTATGATTGACTGAATATTTACATTTGAACATTCAATTTATTGTAGCTGACGGAAGAAATCAAGTATATTGTCTCCCCATAGTTTTCTAATGTGTCAGTAGTAGAAAATGATAAGACAACATTGATACGCAAAAAACATAAAAATATAGCCTTTTCACAATTGGTCAAAGCTATCCTATATTTAAGATTTTATTTTAAATTTATATTCATATTAGTTTAATTCTGCTGTTTGTTGCTATTCCAGAATTTAGCCTATGAAATAATTCTCACGTTGGGACAGGCATTTGAAGTAGCTTATCAACTGGCACTTCAGGCTCGAAAAGGAGGCCATTCTTCAACACTTCCTGAAAGCTTTGATAGTAAACCTACCAAGCCAATCCCCAAACCACGTGTTAGCATCCGAAAATCTGTGGTGAGTAAGAAGCATAATCCATATAGAAGAAACTTAATATCAATGTGTGATAGATGCTCTTGGCCTGAATTGTGTTTATAAATTTTACTCCAAATATTCTGTGAGTTATATGAACATTTACTGTAACTAGCTAAAGTGTAATTTTAGTTAAAAGTTAGATATTAAAGACATTCTTGAAGATAATTCTAACCATACTACTTTAAAGTCTTTAGTAAACAATTGATAATTATATCCAGATTATACCTCAATATAATATATGTTGCTTGGCTCAATTTTCAGTAAGTAAAGTAAAAGAAAGGCACTTCAAGCTCAATTCCACATGACTACATGGACACATCCATGTAGTTTTCTTAACAACCCTTTTGCCATTGCTTTCTTTCAGAATGTTCTTTTGACCTTCTTGCCGCCCAGGTGTTTTAATACAGTAGATCAGTATATGCATCTCTCCAGATATTATTGAATTCATGATCCCCATAGCCATACTTTTCAGGGTTATTATGACTGAAGTGGTAAAATGAAGAGGCATAAATAACCAAGCTCATAGAAGATTTGTAACAAACCAAAAAAAATATCCATCATCAACCTGTGGATTGGGGTGGAATACAAAAGAACTGACAAAAAATTAACTTCCCAAATGGTTATTATAAAGATCAAATTGTCAGAAATTAATGTGTAATACTAATTCGTGTCACTTATATCCATTTGTAACGTATTTATTATCTATGATATACAATAATAGGTGCTATATCAGTTATAAAAAGATAAAAATCAAAATGAAAATCATGGTAACTTATAAATAAAATTTGGAGTAGCAGGGGTTGATACTAGTTGGCAATACTCTGATCAGATTGGAATCTCCACATGTGAAGGTTAAAACTATAGGTATGAGTGGAATGGCTTTTCAAGCCTTATTTTCCAACTCTACAGACTTGAAAAACCACTCCATTCAGGCTGTTGTGGGAATAACATGAAGGATGATTCCTAGGTTAAACCTGGAGACCTTCACCGGACGAAAAGGCAGGAGGAAGAGGAGGAGAAGGAAGACAGCTATATAAATATTTGATTCAATGTATTAAAAAGTCCATATGATTGGAAACAAGAATTCAAATTCTATCTCCATCAGATTAAGGGATGGGAAAACCCTATCTCCTTTTAGCAGCCTAGGTATCCCTCTTTTCAACTCAAAATCCAGGAAGAACCAAAACATGATATTAAGTTTATTATGTGCTCGCTCCAACAAATATTGTACTGCTTTTAGCCACAGGAAAATTTGCCAACACTGAATTTTAAATATTTGTTCATGAAAACACCTTTATGTTTGGTTGTTGGAGTTTATTTTATGATTTGAACACATAAAATGTCACACTCCTACATTAGATACATTACAAGCCAGATGAGGAACACTATTAATATTTTATATGTACCTCTTCAAATTGCTGGAAATGTATATGCTTGGCCCTCCTGATTGATTGTCTGCTGCTTTTTGTGATATTGACTAAACAATTGTACTTTGAATATATGCACTTAGAGTAATTTCAAAGTCAAAAGAGAATGTGAATCTTGCAGTCCAATCTGCTTTTCAAATCTGTAAGCTTCACATGCTGCATCATGGTGTAAGGTTATATGTCAATTTCAGATTTAGTGTAATAGTGTGTTTCATTCCAGCAACATAATTTTGTGGGGACACTGAAGTGTCCTATTGCAATGGTCACCAACCAGTGGGGCAGGGACCACTGGTGGTCCATGAGAAAATTTTGGTGGTCCGCAGACAAATGTCACCTTCAAAGCAATTAATCCAGGCTGGCGGGAACACAAGGCTGCACCACCCACAGGGCCTGTGGGAAGGCTTGTGTCGCTTGCATTGCAAAGAACACGAGATAGTGAGGAAGGAGGGAAAGGGCAGAGGGAACTTGCTCCACTCGCCTCTCGTACCTGACCTGGCCACCGGGCTGCTTCTGCTTCTTTCTTCTGCTTTTGGCTGCACGCAAGGAAAGCAGCAAAAGTCTTTCTTTCTCTACCCCAAACTCCACCAGAAACTAGTCTTTGGGGCCCTGCAAGACATCCTGCTCCAAGAGGCTGCGCCGGCGTGACAAGTCTCACAAAGACTAATTTCTGGCAGAGTTTGGGGGAGAGAAAGAAAGACTTCTGCTGCTTTTGCTGCTTTCCTTGCATAAAGCCAAGTCATTCTCTCCTCCTGAGAACAGAGCTGGAGATGGTATCCTGCAATCCCAAATAAAGAATGATTGATTGATAGGAAAACAGGGTGGGGAATTTTCCTGCAGACTTTTTGGGGAATTTTTCCAGGGTCTCTTGTCTACGGGATTTAAAATTACGAGCTTGGTGGTCCCTGAGGTCCAAAAGGTTGGTGACCCCTGTCCTATTGGATCATCAGTAGGTAAAAAAAATAATATATGGTACATCCAGGTAATGTACCATGTTGACAAACTTTAAACATAGTTTTAAACTTCTGTAATTTAAATAGCTAAAGCATTCCTGTATTTATTTGTTTCAAAGCAGATAGATCCCACTGAACAAAAGACTCTTACCAATCTACCATGGATTGTAGAACCAGGACAAGAAGCTAAAAGAGGAATTAATACCAAGTATGAAACCACAATTTTCTGATAATGAACTGTTCATCATTTCTTGTTGTGCCTTGCACTCAAAGCAGTCACAGCACAGCCTTTCCATGATAAGCAACTCTTCAATCTAACAGGGAGGAAGACTGCACTGAGTGGCCTTGAAACTAGCAAAAACATAAATATATATAAATAAATATATATATAAATATAAAGGCTGCTGGTCATTTCTGGTGATTGTTCTTCCTGCAGCGTTGACAGAAGAATGACATGGGATGAAGACTTTTCAAAGAGCCCACAAGAGGAGTGGGAGATAGTTTTCGTGCACGCAATTTTCTTAGAACTTTGCCACAGTGCTTTCTTTGATTTCATATTTTAATGTTCTACTTTTACAAAGGTCTCTAACATTAATGCTGCTTAGTAATACAATGTTCAGTTATAGTTGGGTTTCTTATTTGGCAAATTGGACATTGAAACAGACCCAGATTATTTAATACAATATTTGAGAAATTATGAAAATCCTATAATTTTTGTTTTAATATGTTTAAAAAATATTAGCAAGTTATTAATTTCCTTCATTTATTAGTTGCTGTTTTTTGTAAACTACATGCCATTTAATCATCTGAAGAAAAGAGGTTCTATATAGCAGTGTGTTAAGATTGATAAATGGTTTTAAAAAGAGGAATTAATAATGCATGAAAATGCACCTTGTATTAAATATTTTTGTGTGACAGAGGAAAAATTATATGAAAAAGTGTGAATATTTATGATAAAGAAAAACATTAATTATGAAGAGAATTTGGATTTAATTTGAAGTTAAACTGCTGCTGTACTGTTTGCAACAGTGGTAACAGTGGTGTCATCTATAAACTGGATGCTTTGTACTTTGGAAGAGTAAAATAAAAGCTACCCAGCAATTGCACTAAGGTACATGCAACTGTACACAGTTTTTCAAGTTATTATAGCCATGCATTTAAGCTTATCAATGTTTCAAAGATGGTTTTAATCCAACTGGAATTTTTATTAAATTTTCTGTCGCAGCTGATTTTAATGAAAAAGTTCAATTCAAGAGATTTTTTTTCTAAATAAAATTTAAAAAAAATCCGAAGTAATACATTGTTTCCACAAAATAACCTGTTGAGCACTGGCTTAACATGGAATTTAATGAAATTTGCTTAGTTTTGTTTCAAGTATTTTAATTTTTTAATGTCTTCGTGGAGTATTTGTACAATAACATTTATGTATATTTCAGTGGAACTGAATAAATTACAGTAAAAATATTGATCATAGGCGAAAAACAGCATTTTAAATGTATATTCTATCCAGTCAAAATTGTGAGTCATTTTGGACATCATTATAGAAATATTTATGAATAGTGTGGTTGACTTCAATGTTTTTTATTATTCTTTCATATCTAACTGAAAATTCAGTTACGCTCAATGGAATTTTTAGCAAAATTGACAATGAAACTCGATTTAAAACTGAAAATTGTATATGGTTTAGTTGATCCTAATCATAGCGCTGGATGACAAGAAACCTTTTAATACAATATACTTGAACCAATTAGTTCCTTGTATATATTTTGCCTATCATTGTTGATATGTATGTAGTAGGCTGATATTAAACATTGAAAATAGTACCCAAAGGAACATTGTATAGGAACAAGCAAATAGTAGCCTCACTGCAACAAATTCTTCTCTGTAAATATGCTTGGGCTTCCAGTTATAAATTTTGTAATTTTGGTCATTATTTATATCCTTTAAAAGCACACAAAATAAATTGAAGTTGTACAGTCAGCACTGGCTTTTTCACAATTTAGTAAGGATAATATTAAGCATCAGGCATTCTGAAATGAAAAGGAGTATGGAAAACATAGTGGTCTAATGGCCAGTGTAATCTGAAATTCATATTGTCTACTTTTAGTGCAATATGATAAAAAACTAACACTAAAAAAGAGGCTTTTGTTTTTAGGAATTTATTCTGTTTTAGTACAAAGTAATGGAAGGAGAGACATTAAAATGGAAGAAGGAATAAAGCTAGAATATTGGCCTATATGTATTTGAGTGGTGCAGTGGCCTAGAGGTGGAGCTCTCGCCGCCCAATCAGGAGTCTGTGAGTTCAATCTTAGATAGCAGTAGATATCAATAAGTAAATATCACAATAAGTAAATATCAGCTGTGAACTCTGCACTGGTGACAGGAAGGGCATCGGCCAGTAAACACTCAGCTCCATTCAACTGCCCCGACTCCACCTCGATGCAAGGGACTAGGGGGTAATTAAGACACAAAAAATATGAGCCTATATGTATTTCTTTGGTTCACTTTTGAAGTAGAGTTCATTAAAAAATATAGATTTGGAACATATTTCAAATACAGGTAGTCCTCAAACTATGACTATTTGTTCAGCATCATTCAAAGTTATAACATTACTGAACAAATGGTGGTTACAACTAATCCTTGGAGTTCCAGCTGTCCCAGCATCTGCATGGTCACATGATCATGATCTAGGCATTTGGCAATTGGTTTGCACTTATGAACTAGGTTTCAACACCCATAATTACAAGTGCCTTTTGTGACTTTTCTTGCTGGATTCCCCACAAACTCAATTAGGAAGCTTAGAGGAAAGGTTGCATGTTGCTGAGTTAGTCTGCTCTACCTGTGCACTCTTCCCCAGTCCTTCTGGGCTTCCAGCCATGGTTATTTTCAAAGGGAGACTCACAGAAAACATGTTGTGTAACTAGATGAGTAGCAATGAGAGTACGGGTCACTATTTTGAGATCCTTCCACTCTAGGTAAGTGTTGAGACCATCACAAGGCAGAATCAAGCAAGCAAGAATTATACAATAATATATTTAATTAAATATTAAGTATTATATAAAGTACAGGATCTTGGAAACATTAACAGAACCTCATTTATTAGCATGCTAGGTAGAAAAATATTGTAGAAAAGTGCTCTGATCTACAATTCTCACAGATGGTAAAGAAAGACACGGGAGCTGTGGTACTTAAGTCTGACAATAGCCCTAATAGGGCTCCAGACAGCAACGTTCCTCTCATCCAAATTCCAACAAATGTCATCAACCAGGAGAGCTAATGCTGTTTCAGTGTCATAACCATGCTTGAATGAAGATTGAAAATGAGCCAGATCAGTTTCTTCCACAATGTTTTGAAGTTGATTTTCCAGCATCGTCTTACTCTACCAGTAAAGCAGAAGACTGGAAATTGGCAACAGTCAAAAATAGAAAAGAATTGGTAATAACCTATTTCACAAACAGATGCCAACTATCCTCCAGATTCAGCAAATATGCCTTTTCCAGACCATATGAGTTGAAAGACAGGAAGCAAGCCTAGAAGTAGCAAAGATCAGACTTCAAAATATTCTTTTTATTTCACAGGCTAAAAGAAGTCTCAATTATGTCTTTTATTTCATCGCTCATCACATCAAATCCTGACCCATATAGAGTCAAGACTCTGATGGATTTGAATATTATTGGTGAAATGTCATATAAACTAGTTATAGTCGCCTGGCAGAGATCTACGTGCTAAATTGCAACAAAAAGAAAGTTGGCAATGGTAACAGCCCACCAACACAAGGGAGCAGTAGAAATGCTTCCTTGTGCTTGGCCTGATTCAGTTTTTGTATTTAAATATTGGCGCTCAAGATATGGCTTCTGCTGTTTCATCCTCCAAAAATGCTTACGAGATGAACCAAGCACCCCAGGAGAAATTATACTCAAGTTGCCCTGAATGAAAGTTTAACCAGACATCAATATAACTGTATCAAAAAGCAAGGGACTCAAATCCCAGCATTATTGATAGCCAGGATCCCTAGTTTGCCTGTATAGGTCAAGTTAACAGGTACTCATACTTGTCACTCCAAACCACTGTCCATTTTCTCCACTAATTTAGCACCACCACCAGCCCAGTTACTAATGACTACCAGCTTAATATTCAAATCTTTCACTGCAGGTGAGGACCACTCTTACCGCTTCTTCCACTCAGGAGTCTAAGGTCCAATCCCTGGGTTTCATTTCTTTTATATATGGCACAATGATGGCTCTCCAGAACTACTTCTATTGCCACAGGCTTTTTCTGGCCGTCTTCATGTCAGGGCTTGGGCATTTCAGCCTTTTTTCTCCTGTTCCAACTTGGTGAAGCTGTACAATAGTTCTATTATCTTTTGGGCCCACCTAGATTGAAGAGATGTTTAGATATTTTTCTGTTTGGAGTGTTTTATTCTTGGCCAACCAGTTTCAAAGACCTGATGTTTGCAAATGACTCAATGTCAGATTGGGCATAAAATATTAAAACACTGTTAAAATATTGTATTGGCCTGATATCCGAAAGTAGGCATTGTGTTGAGAATCAAGCTGCCAAATTACTTTTGACAAGTTGATGCTCCACATGGTGAAGGAAATGTGCCAATCTGTTCTTCAAGGCATATTTTTGGTAGCCTTTGGGTTCTATTCAGAAAATGAGGTAAAAGGAGAGATTAGAAATCTGGCAGGAGTTTCTAATCTGCCTATCAGCACAACAGCAATCATAAGTTCTTCCCTCTTCACTTTCTATGTTTGTATTTGTGCACATATGCACCACAAGAGAACTATCAATTTTCTATCCTGTGCATACCTAACCAGGAGTAGGTTCTATTAAACTCTCTAAATTAGCATTAAAGGACAATAACTTTTGAAAATATGTCATCTAGCAATATCAACTTAACAAGAACATTTTAGTAGGTAAGTTTTATTTAAATATTCATAGACACAGACTAAAAAAAATACATGCTAGAAAAAAATCAAATATACTTTATTTTTTAAAAGGAAACAAGAAAAATGCAAAATAATCTTAATCATACATAATCTTTAAAAGTGAAATACTCTTCCCAATACATTTTTTAATACAACTAGATGCAGTGACATTTTAGTCTGATTCAAAATGGAATACTTTAAGCCAACTTCCAAACTTTTGTTAGAGAAAATGTATCTTTAGAAAATTGTATTGTGCTTTTAAGTAACGGACAAGATAAGACTGAAACGTGCTCTTATTATCTTTGAAACAGAACACCAGTAGGCACTTTATGCCACTGATATTTTCAATTATTCACATTGTGTATCAAGACAACCTGTCAATCCAAAGGCATTAAGACAAAATTACAACAGTAAAAAAAAATCTAAAACAAAAGCTTGGTGTGGCAAATGTGCTTATGATTTAGAAACATTTGCTATAAAATCAATGACTGCATTATCACATATTGGTCTTTTTCGTGATCAAAGTATAGTGTAATTATATTTAGTGCAACTTCCAAGAGCAAAACTTATTAAATTGCATTTTCATTCTGATCATCACATATTTTTTTTAAAAAAGTGCTGATTTGGGAGAAATTACAAATGTATTACATATAGTAAAAAAAAAAATCACAGTTTCATGAAAGTTAGAATAAAAATAAGAAAGGATTTACTTTTGGCTCAAAATACTGTAAATATAAAAGTGATTACAACTTAAATTTATTCCATAATCCGTAGCACATAAAGAATGCCTAGATTATCCAGTGTCACACATGTTTTGAAATCGGGGGACACATGCAATGATTTGAGATTTGTTCCATTTGTGTAGAATGTTTGTAAGGATTGGCTAGTATCCACATTCCACCACTAAAAAGAAAAGAAAATATATTTGTAATTAAGAAAAATAAAAATCTGACAATAACCTATAAATATGCCACAGCCAAACTGTGGCATACTCTTCTTGCTGTGCTACACGTTTGAAAAAAGTACGGTATTCATAAGAGTCAAATTTCAGAACGCAAGGATTCATATTAGCTATTCAAATGTAGATTACGATATCTGCCCCAAATCATGATTATTTTCTTGAAATTTACTTCCTATATTAGAATTACATAGCTCTTGTAACTGAGAACCTTGTGTAAGGTACACAAGCACTTCTAAATCAGGGTTGTGTTTGACCTTGGGGGCCAGGATGGGGTGTGACGGGGTGGCCATGGCCATGGTGGGCATTTGATACAGGCTCAAAATGCATCCCCCCACCCTTTGCATTCAAAACAGCTATTCCAGACAAAGGGAGGTTTACTTTCTGGCACAAATAATATCAATTCCATAATGTAGAGATTAAATACAGGTAGAGTCCCCAGCTGCTATGGGGCTTGACTCTTGTATAGGAGCAGAGCATAAATGAACTGACAATTTCTCCAAATGTCTCTAAAAACTATTCAACAGTCTATCAATCTTTGTTACCTCTGATGCAGCCCTAGAGGACGACTTAATATTAGTAATAATTTACCAAATTGATATACCACCCAATTCCCAATGACCCTGGGTGGTTCACAACAAAATTTACAATTAAATCAATCACAGGTAAAGGATTAAGATAAAAGATGACAAACTAAGTGATATAGAGGGATCACTCTCATCAAAGACCTGGGTGAAGAGCCAGATGTTTTTGGCTCTTCTGAACAACAGCCATCCAGATCTTGGAGGGTACCTAGTTCTATAGTTGGCAGATGCTGCTAAAGAGAAGGTGAAGAGGATGCTGCCTCCTGCAGCATTCTGTCAGCCAAAATGGGATGTGAGGCCCCCGGTACCCCATTTTGGCTGGCAGAGTGGTGCAAGAGGCCATCCAGGCCAAAAACAGGGTGGGGGGCGCATGTGCCCCCGTGCCCTATTTTGGCTGGCAGAGGCACTGCAGGGTGGTCCTATGTTATTTCCAGGCCAGCCCTGTGGGGCAGATTTAAACACCCCCACCCCCCAGACTGGACCCGGCCCGTGGGCCTTGAGCTTGACACCCCTGTTCTAAATTGTCATCTTCTATGGGATGGAATAGGCAAATTGTAGAGTTATTGCATAAACTTCTAAATTAAAGATACATAAACAAGAGCTAAGTTTATTTTTCCCTAATTCAATCAGATATTTCAAAGAGATGGTTTTTTATGACCCTCAAAAAGGTTGTGCAATCTTAGCTTATATAATAATTCTAGAAATTGCACTTTTTACAAAATTTTATGGAGCTTACCTTGATGTATCCTCCAGAAGAAACAAGCACTTTACCATCAGGAGAAAAATGAAGGCCTGTCACCCAGCCTCCATATGCTAATCCTCCTTCATTTGTTGTGGCAGAAAAATACAAGTGAAGAAGTTTACCTGTTGATATACTCCAAACCTGTAATACAAATGCAATCAAATATTAGATACAGTTATAACTTTTTGTAAGTTATCTTAGAGAATACAACTAAATGGTGGTGTTGAAATAGGAACAAAAAATAAATCCTGCTACAGATGCTTCTGGAATTAATAAGGCACAATATCTTGTAGATTAGATACCTTGTGAAACCTCCATGACTTCCTAAATGTATTATTTTTATCAAGCTAATTAGACAATTCTTCATTTTAAATAAATAAGAATAAATGGTCTCCCTCTGATCTTAAAATGCAAACTTTGAAACCAGAGAGGCAGTTTGGTCTAGTAATTAACACGCCAGTCTAAAAACCAGGCAAATGTGAGTTCCAGTCCTGCCGTATGCATGGAAGCCATTTGGGTGACTTTAGCCCAGTTACTCTGTCAGTAGAGTAGAGAGACCATCTCACCTCATTTATTGTGGGAAAAATAGGAGGAGGAGGGAATATAAAGTTCCCTGTCTTTAATTATTTATAAAAATAAAGGCGCGATTTAAAAATGTAAAACCAGTAGTGGATAACAGAAACTGAGGTGGATATTGCCTATTGTTTTAACTGGAATAAAAACACAATAAAATTATGTGGCATAAGAGTGCCATAATGAATTTGGAAATGTTGTATTTTTCTTTCAACATACAGCTAGTTCGTGCTTATGATAGCAATTGGGACTGGCATTTCTACTCACTAAGCAATGTGGATGTAAAGTATGACTGCACCACTTAGTAACAGTAATCCCGAAGTCCCAGTTGCATGATTAATCAAATCCCACAGTTATTCTTGCCAGTTTCCCACAACAAGTCAATGAGGATGCAGGCAAAAAACTGCCAGGTTGGCAGTGGCTGCTGCTGTATGGGAGAAGGAGGGAGGGGATTTGCAAAAAGGCAATCGAGGGTGTGGCATCGGTCAGGGAGGATCAGTGGCTGGTGAGGCACAAGGCCCAGAAGGAATGGGGAAGGGTGCGTGTATGTAGGTGACTTACATCAGCAACTTGAAACCTTCCCTATCAGCTTCCCCAATGACTTTCTGGAGAACCCAACAATGAAGATTGCAAATGGTGATCACATTATCATGGGGTGCTGCAACCAACTGTAAATGGGAACCAGTTGCCAAGTACCCATATTGTGACCATGTGACCCTGGGGTGCTGGGACAGTCAGAACTATGAGGACCAGTACTAACTACCATTTGTTCAACATTGCTGCAACTCTGAATAGTGCTCATACCTCAAGAACTATTTGTAGATATGACCATAGATAGTTCATGTTAATAAATACTGAAATCTTTTTCTTGCTACAGAAAACATGTTGCAAAAAGTATACTTTTTAAAATTAGATGTTATTAAAGAATATTTCACAGAATAAAAATAAAAAATTAAGAAAAGTATGTAAAATGATAGTAAGAAATAAAATAAAAAGACACAAAAAGAAAAAGATATGAGGCAGTGTTTGACCTTCTTTACAGCAGTTGTAAATGTAAATTTTGTTCTCTCTCTCTCTCTCTGTTATATCGTAGTATCTCTCTTTCCATATTTTATCCTAATCATCAACCTGTATCACAACTTCGTGCACCCTTGAGGGAGGGGATTATATTTGCTGGCTTGAAGGAGGCAAAGCTTTCATCCCTGCTTGAAGATATACTTCTTGTTCCAACAGTGATGGAGAACTTTCATTCATTCATTTAAACTTACCTTTTTGAGAACGTACTAGAGAAAAAGCTGCAATTACAATTAGCAAAAAACCCTGCATGAAATTGATTATTTTGGAAAAACCTGCATTGGTTATTCCTGTAGATAACCTGAATTAGCAATTGGATGAGTGTGTATATACCTTTCCTTGTCCTATTAGGTTTCATGCAACATTTGACATTATTGTATAAATTGTGAGGTTAGAAGTTGGAAGTATTGTTTTGCAGCACTTCTTTTCATTCCTGAGCCAGTGGTTCCAACTGGCAACAAGTTAGATCCTGTCATCCTGTATGAGTGGAACATTGGACTCCATGCTTAAGAATAATGTTATTTAATGTCTATATAAAACCAGTGGCAGTGGTCATTTGTCAGTTCAGGATGAGAATTCATCAGTATGCTGATGATACTCAATAATATATTTCATCCTGGCTAGGCAAGGAATAGAGTGGATCATGTAGCTCAGTATCTAGACAGTGAGAGTAGATGGCAAAAAACAAGTTGAGACTGAATCCCAGCAAGATGGGGATACTTATTTATTCAGAATCTGTTAGGCTTCCCATCATCCCTTACACTTGCTATGAATGGGGTCACACTGATCTTGCATGCATCTTGGTGTTGTGATAGGACAAAATAAAGTAAAAAGGTCTGTTGTTAATGTCACATGATCTCCCACATGCACATACTTTGAAAAGTGCACACTATAAAACTGACCTGGAAAAAATGTTAATAAGCAGTTACACTTGGACAAGATGGAAAGTTACACTTTCTCAGATGGAAGAAATGAAAAGGGGCTGATATGCTAGCAAGATGAAAATTTGTTCATCTTGGAATGAGAATTGCTGAAGTTTGAGGAGGAAAAGAACCAAGATGAAAACAAACCAGAGGATCTCAGGAGATGAATACTGAAAATAAGAGGCAGCCAATGGGATATTCTTAATGACTGACTTTGTAGAGGATGTAATGGCAACAAGCCAGGATAAAATTGTACTGCTAATCTTAGAGACAGCTAGTCAAATATAATTAATATTCTTGCTTATCTCTAAGAACAGAGAAGGAATTTAGAACTTGCACATGCCTTTTTAGCGAAATCTACTCCAGCATTGAGTGAGCTGCTGTGGATTCTGCCCACTTTTTGCTTCCAGACAAGGAACTGGAGGCTTGGAGCTTTTTTTTTTTTTTAATCAGTTCACATACCTGCATCAAGTTTGATGCATCCTGGGTGGAGAGAGTTTTAAGACAAGTGTTTGACATTCTGGTCATCCCCAGCCTGGCTTATTGCATTGTGTGACTGCTTACTCAGGGCTGCTTTAAAAATACATCAAGGTATTGGAAATATCAATGCACTCTAAAATAGGGCAACGCTATCATATTAGGCCAAGACCGCCAAACATTTCTCCATTGTGAAATTCTGAGCCATTCTGAGTTTAGAAAAGGCTTTAGCTTGCATAGTTAGCTCATGCATGTTTGACCAAACTGGTAATAAATCAGGTTCTTGCTTCTGATGATATGTTCACAGTAGAAAAATGCATTTTTGCACAGCACAAAACAAAACTGAATTTTTCCTTTATCTCTTGATGGTAAAAGACGTGTGAAAGAAATATAAAGAGAGAAAAAAAATCATGAAGTACTATTTGGGGTACTTGGGGTACATACATTTATATGTTCTATAGAAGCAGCTGTTGGAAGTTTGTTTTAGCTTATCTACTAGCTGCAATAGAAAAACTTACTGACAGTGACTCATGCCATCACTACCTTGACTGCATTATTACAATATAGCTTAACTCAGAGATGGTATTCAGCAGGTTCTGACCACTTCTGGAGAACTGGTAGCGGAAATTTTGAGTAGTTTGGAGAACCGGCAAATACCATCTCTGACTGGAGATTTTACAGTATCCTTCCCCTGCCACGCCCACCAAGCCATGCCCACAGAACCGGTAGTAAAAGTTTTTGACTCCTACCACTGGCTTAAATACTGCTGCTCCTGAAGACCATCTGAAAACCACAGTTGCTTCTGAAGGCAGAGCTGGCGTGCAGAGCTACTTTAATGATACAAACTCTGTCTTATTGAACGAAGACAGGGGAGAATTCTGCAGGTTTATTTCACTGTAGAAAGAAACAGTGGGGTGGTGGTGATCTGCTACTGAGAAAGCCTGTTTCTAGTTTCCAACCACTTTCTTAGCTATCTTAGTTCTATATACGTAAATGCATTCTATATTCCTAATGCTATTTTTTGTTAACAGAAAAAATATCTGAAATCCCTCTTTACCTCTTTGATATTGTTGCTCTGTAGTGATAGCAAAACCATCCAAAAATTCATGAATATAAAAAACTATCAATCCATAGCAATGATGCCAAATATTAAATAATGAAAAACAAAATACCCTTATTTCTCCATCATCATCTCCTGTGGCCAACAATTCATTTTTAAGAGAGAATGTACAGCATCTCACACAATCTTTGTGGCCACTCAAAGTATGAAGAGCTGATGGATTTCTGAAGCTCCATATCTGAAGATTTAAAATATTAAAATATAATATTAAGCAAAATGTTTAATTTACATATGAACAAGAACATACAAATAATACATACACCTTATTCACTCAGATACCAAAACTGGTATCTGAACTTCATAGATAATTTAGGGTTCAGTAAAAACTATAATTATAGAAATGATGACGTGCATGAATGAGCAGTAACTAGAACAATTTCTAAAAATAGTCTGTGCATATTTAAATTTACTTCAAACATATATATTTTCTCACATGGAGGCTAGGAACATAGAATTTTGTAGAGACCTCAAATTCTCCTTTAACAATCTGATCCAGTACCTTAACAGGAATGATATTTTGATGTTATTCTCCTGATACAGAAGAATAACAGGAACAACTGCATTGTAAACAGACATTTACAATGATCAATGCTAATTTATAATATTAGGCAATAGGTACATTTAAGGTCAGATTCATATAAATGAAAGAAAAGCCAATGTGCAACTCTTTCACTGAAATCAATATAGTAAAAAACTACTTTTCACTTCAAGGGAAGAAATGGAACACTCAAAATGATTATGTTTTCAACTGAAACATAACCATTTTGATGACTGTGGTAGAATGAAGTGCCAGCAGGTGGACTGGCTCTTTGGGATTCCTCTCTGGACACAGAGGGGTTGGGATTGTTCTCAAATATTCCAGCAGCTACTCCTCATGAGAAGACCACAAGACAGCAGTCCCCAGTGGTTTAGAACTCTGGAACACCATCTTTGCCCAAATTGCAGTTGGACACAGGGTTTGCACACTTCCTTTCTAATCCCATTTGGAAATTGCTTATTAATCGCTTTTTGGAATGACAATTTATATAGCATTGGGTGAGTCTCCTTTGATACTTCCAAAAAGAAGTTTTAAATACAGGTTTAAGGACTTTAAATATTTTTTTTGGAATAAATAACAAAAGGATGATTAGAATATTGATTTTGAAAATTTATAAATGGACTAAGGATCCAGAAGGACTTGAAATAAGATTTTAAAATTAATTATAACAATTCTTCCTTTTTTTAAAAAAAAAATGACACAATAGAACTTTGGACACTAGAGGGAATCGGGAGGAACTAATTTAAGAACAGTTGCATTTGACTGAATGACACAGAATGAAGCAAAATACTTTAACATTGGATGTATTAAGGGATATTTGTGAACAATGGAACCAGAAGTTAATTTTAAGACTTACATCACAGACAGTCTTTAAAGATGTTACAGAAGAGGAACAGATTTTACCAGACAAAACAGACTGACCTGAAAACGGATTTAAAAATTTCAGGCTACAAGTATGATATGGGAAAAAATGCTAAATTGGATGTACAAATGACACTGCATAGATATTTCAGATATTGGATATATCATTTTACTTTTAAAAAATCAAACTTATGACTCCAGAAGTCTGTTTGGCAGAACAAATAGAACAGTATAGTACTATTTCATGTTATATGCTCATGAATATCACGTAAAATATGTAAAAAGGAAGGAGTATAAAAGATAGAATATTGAAGCTACATCAGTTTCTGACAAAAAAACGCCTAACTCCTCCTTACGTGGTTGAGAATCAGACACACCTGAAACAATTTATATGTCTTATGTATAAATGAATTAGCAGTGTTTTAATTGTATTAATTAATACATTAATGCTGTATTAAACAGTCTTTTCTTTTAATACGGAACAAACATTCACTACTGACCTTGGCAGTTTTGTCAGCAGAGGTAGTGGAAAATATAGTGGCATCAGGTGAAACAGCACAAGAAAGAACAGCATCTTCATGGCAAGTAAGATCTTTTTCTAGTTCTCCAGTAAGTATATTCCAGACCTGTGAAATATAGTGAAAAATACCAGTGATTAATGCTGGTTGTACGTGATTGGTAAGCAAGGCAGACAGACACTTATATAAAAAAAGAGGACCCTGAATTTAAACTGATTCCTTTCCCAAAATTTAAGTGTATGTCTTCATGAATGAATCAATTGAAATGTTCAGCTCCGGATAAAATAAATCCTGAAGATCTCAACTTTCCCAAATAAATATTGGGATATATATATGTGTGTGTGTGTGTGTGTATTCATGTACACATATGCACCAAAACTTATAAAAACATACTTTAAGTGTCAGAAATTCCAAAAAAAGGCAGAATCATGGTCTGTAAGTGTAGTGATTAATAATTACCTATAAATCAGATATCCCATTTATTAAAATTAATGGATTAACAAATGCATATACAGGTAGTCCTCAACTTACAACTATTCATTTAATGATCATTTGAAGTTACAACAGCACTTTAAAAGGTTTTTTCATAAAACTATTACACAGCATCCACATGATCATGTGATTGGAATTCAAATAATAGGCAAATGATTCATATTTATGATGGTTGCAGTGTCCCAGGATCATGTGATCATCTTTTGTGACGTTTTGACAAGCAAAGTCAATGGGAAAGCCAGATTCACTTAACAATTATGTTACTAACTTAACAACTGCAGTGATTCGCTTAACAACTGTAGCAAAAAAAGATTGTAAAATGGGGTAAAATTCACTTAGCAACAGAATTTTGTTACCGGACCAACCATTTTTTCATATATACGCAAATTAGTCTCATAGATGGAAAAACACATGATCACTTTAACTCTTGTAATTTAAAAAGTTACAAAAAACATCAAAAAAACAAAAAACCCAATGACACGATTCGAAGTGGGGGAAAAAATCTGCAGAAAATTCAGACATTCTTAATTTTCTGTTTTTTCATCACTTTATCAGTGGAATTGCAAAGTTAGTGTCTTTTAAATATTTTAGACCAATTCTGTGAGTCCTACTAGAATGCCAAAGGATGAAAATGTTTTGAGAGCATATTGTCTATAAGTGCTACAATACATATATGCATTTGTGATCTGTTAAAAACTAAAAGAATAGAAAGGATTTACAAACAGCGCCATCAAAAAACGAAACAGCTTTTCTTCCTATTTATCCCTCTATTTTAGCCTGCTGAATGTTGACATTTATCAAGCAAAATGCTTGTTGACATTTATCAGGCAAAATCTGATGACTTTTATTATTTGTAAATCAAATACAATACACATTTTATACCGTACACATTTAATTTACAGGCACTAATCTAAAATAATAAGTAAATTGCTTTTATTTACTTTAACTGTTCCATCAAATGACCAGGAAAGGAGTCTTGATTGCTTCAGAAGATGAAAATTCTTGACAGGTTCTTTATGTCCTTTCAGAATAATGTAATTCTCTGACTCCCAATTCCATACCTAAAAAAAATTATAAAAATGCATGTAAATAAAGATATCTGTGTATTTTAAAGAACAGCATTGATTATCTTGAATATAAAATATTTTTTTTACTGGACAAATATCCTAAGACACTTGTGAAAATTAGTTAATCTACATAGATTGGTCTAGTGGTTAAGACACCAGGCTGGAAAGATGGTGACTATGAATTCCAGTTCTGCCTTAGCCATGAAAGCCAGCTGGGTGATCTTGGGCCAGTCACTCTCTCTCAGCCCAACCCATCTTACAGGGTTTGCTGTTGTGAGGAAAATAATAGGAGGAAGGTCTATTGGATATGTTTGCTGCTTTGATTTATTTGTAAAAATAATAAAAGGAGGATACAAATAAATAAACGAAAACAAAATACAGCTTGGGCGGTATCATGGGAATAATTCTACTTTCTTGAGGAATATTTATCATCTGTGAGCTATGTATTCATTCCTGACATACTTTACAATGGACACATTCTTTTGCCTTATGAAATACTGCAAAATAGTAAAATGCAATGTTTATTTTATTATGAGTAAATTATTACTAGAATGCTCAAAATGTTTTGGTTAAAAAAAATACATGGATAGGATAACATGGATAATTTCATGACTATCTCCAAAATCAGTTTTCTCTGAACGTTAGTTTTTCAGAAATATGAATTGGAGAGCACTGTTCCATGCATGTTCTGCCTGTAAGGTTCCTAAAAATATTTGATCATACTGCAAATTCTTACTCTTTTTAATCTCCACATAACTGGCAATATAACAATATACAAAGTATATGCACATTAAATAAAACAGATTTAAATTTGTAATTATCTCCTTTAAGACAACACTCCAATTACAACTATAAAAGTTCAGGAACAGTTATAACTTGTAAACTATCTTTTTTCCTATGAACAGCTTTTTTACTTTTTAAAATATTGATCATTATGAAATGACATATAATTAAAAATGTAGAATGGATAAACTAAATTATATAAATATATATATTTTATAACAAACTGAATTTGAATGACTGCCTGCCAAATTTTGAGCAATAGTGTCAGTTCCTAAACAAAACTTGCAGCATTCCTGTACCTGTATAGTTGAATCATCAGAGCTTGAAATAAGAGTTTTTCCATCAGAAGTAAATTGGCAGTGCTGTACAGCTTTCCTGTGTCCAATTCTGGATTTTAAAACACTCCTATCTGATACCTTTAAAACCTATTGAAATGAGATCAGCAAGTTGTGAAAAATTCAATTTGCAAGATTTTTTAAAAAAGTTCTTTTTATAGATCTTTTTGATACAAAAAATCCTGAAAAATGGAAAATATACATGTAAAGCAAATTTTGTGATCATCTTCATAGAACTTGCTATCATTGGAACTAAGAGATCAGGCCTTGGACTACAACTTTTTCATCAGCCATAGGCAATTTTAATAGCTGCATTAAAAGGAACCATTTAACTTTAAATAAATTCTGAATTTATTTCAGATCTGAAGAGTTTCCTGCAAAAATAGCTAAAGTGAACTGAATTGAAAACACACACAGACATACACAGAGAGAGGGAGAGAGGGAGAGAGAGAGACTCTAAACTCTAAAACAAAAAATAGAAATGTACAATATCCTGAGATTATATTTTAAAAAAATCAAAGGATAAGATGGGTGTCTATAGAAATATAATAAATAAAGAAAACAAACAGTGGATGGATGGATAGATGTTCAAAGGGTGGTAATGTATCATCAACACCATGTCAATATCTTGCAGGCATATAGATTTTCTATATGGTTTTTTATGTTATTATTAAGGCTTATGTTATTATCATAAAATATAAAAATTTCACTGGGTAATTTTCTATAGAATGTATCCTCTTAAACTGAAACACCCAATTATTTTGCTCTGACATTGGATGTGTAACTGAGACCGAGTCTGGTCTAAAGGGTAGGGCACCGGGCTAAAAATCAGGAGACTGTAAGTTTTAGTTCTGCCTTAGGCATGAAAGCTGTCTGGGTGAATTTGGGCCAGTTACTTTCTTTCAGTCCACAATGTCAGGCTCAGGTAACAAGCCACTTGATCAAGTCCTGTCACAACAAATGGATTGACACTCACTTAATCCAAAACTGAAAAAAAGGAAAACCCAAATCCTGCATTTGTGGAAAAATGCTAAGAAGAAAAACATTGATGGGTAAACCATTTTTTCTACCAAAACAAAAACAAAAAAAAACAGTTAAATGTGAGATGAACATCAGAAAGATGAGTGTGATTCTAACATTAGCTTGAGAAACATGTTTTCATTATTACAAACTTGTAGTCAGTATTAGAAAAATATATTCAATTGTTCTAAAATTATTAAAACAGAATCTTTTCAAATTCATTGTCTTACTGATTTTGACTTGTATAATGCTTCCAATAATTGGGGAATGAAATCAAAAGTCACTGATTCAAAAATTTAATTCTGGTACTTCACCTTTACAATTCCATTTTCATCTCCATATGCAGCAAACTGTAGGTCTTCACTCAAACAACAGCAGCAAATAGAAGACTTCTGTTCTTCAGTCAAATAGATAGCATGGCCTGTAGATCCGTTAATTAGCTATAATGCAACAAATAACTGGAAATTACTGAGTATCATTTAATGTCTGTTTCTTCGCTTAGGATTTTTAAAACTATTTTTTCTTTAGAGTTGAAAATAAGAATCAGTAACATTATTGTTAACAACAATATATAAAAAGTCATATAGATTTCATATATTAATATGTGGTAAATATGTATGACTAACACATCTTCATTATTGCTTTGGTAGTGATACCTATACTTATTTTGAAAGTCCCATTTCTCTGATAACTATACAGAAGCACACTACCAAACACAAATTTATTTAACTTTAAAATTGATTTTCCATGTCAAAAGAAGCTTGTAATGATCTTTTCAATGAATTCTTTAAGTATTCAATGCTTTGTGAAAATGAACACCGCCATAGCAGAACTATGCCCTTTTGTTTCTGGCTTTCTGTTTCCATAGCAATATAATATTTAAACTGAAAAATGAACAGGAAACAGCATTACATTACCCTTATTTATAAATAATTTTAGAAAAGGATGAACTTTATAAAGATATAACCAGGTCCCCAATGCCCCATTTTCTACCCCCAATTAAGGGGTAATGAACCTGAAAAAGTTATTTTTATTTAAAGAAAAGAAATCCTTTATACAAGTTCTCTTGTGATGGAAAAGGGCTGCATATTGAGTCCCATAGCTACTCTATAGAATTCTCAGAATGGAATGTGTCACAATCCACCAGTAGAGGGGGATGTAGCACACATACATTTCATATATGAAATGAATTGATAACATCACCATAAATGGCTGTGACAAACAGCTACTACGGTACAATGGTATCAGCATCTCTTTCTTTGGATCACCATAACAGGGACAAAAATATAGGTTCCTTCAGAATGCTGCTATAATACTAAAATTGGAAATGACCACCCATCTGAAATTGGGAATGCATCAGAATGATAGCATAACATTTAGAAAGCAAGCAAGCAAGACTATAATCTTATTACAATAAAAGTTAGGGGCCTTACTTATTTATTGTATAAATTTTCACCAGACTTGCTAATAAACCCTATTGCTATGTAGATAGAGCAGTTTTACATTTATAAGAACCCATATTTAATAAATTATTAAAAAGTCATTAAATCATATATACCATTAAATGCTGTATGTTACTTTTTACATAACCAATTAAGACTTCAAAAATGATTTGGAATAATGTTTTAGATCTTCCATAAGCGTAGCATCTCTTGTTTATTAAAACAACACAACTATTGTCAGCCATATTACTGTACATACATCATTACATAAGTAAATAAATAAATACTACATGAAATCAATATGAAAAAAATGAAAATACTTTGAGCAAAGTTGGTTACAGATCCTATCAATAGTTTATATGGTGAGATATAGCAAACTAAATTTGAGCTAAGTAATATCTTCCTGAAAATATAAAAAATAATCTTTTAACATTTTTACTGTATGTCAAAGGTATTGGGAAAATGGTAAAAGATCTGGTTAGATCTTGGCAAACTCTTTAAAGAAAAAATGATGAAAAAAATCACTAAAGCTGTGGAGCTTCTCTGAAGATCTATAGTTTTATTTTCTCAAATTTTATTCCAAGCTATATTTCATAGTCCTGAGGATGTATCACGTGAAGTATCAATATTTTTTTTTGTTAGCAAACAGCAAAAGACAATTAGGAAGTCTTTTGCTATTTAGGTAGTCAAAAACACACAGGCAGGTTTTGCTTAATTTATACAGGAAAACTGAAATTCTATTCTGAATAGAGAGCATCAAGATGGATGCTAAAAAAGCCTTTAACAAAATTTTTTACTATTTATTTCAAATGCCTACTTTATGCCTTTACTCAAGATTACATGTTATTTCATATTTCTTTAGAAGTTATAAACTAATATTATATGCAAATAGTATTGTATTATGTATGTCTATGCTTAATGCTTTCATTCCAGCTTTGGGAAAACAGCAGGATATTCAATTAACAGGTCCAAATCAGAACTGATGTCAGTAGTTAAAAATCCCTTCATTAATTCAATAAGCAGTTATCAATTTTATGTATGAAATGACCATACTGGAGTATGCAGATTAAGCATACTGGGAGTTCTTACATCTTCTAATGTATCATAGGTAATTATTTTAAGCATTAATATATAAGGACATCTCTTCAGGTTTTGATAGATTTAAACCATGTTTAAAACTTACCCCTTTGGGCAAAATTAATACTCTTAAGAATATATCTCCAATATCAGTGATTCTCAAATATTTTAATCTTATAACCCCTTTATGTTATTAAAAAAGACTGAGTCCCCCCAAGAGTTTTGGTTTAAATGGGTTACATCTAGAAATGCATTAGAAATTACAAATCAGATATTTTAAAATATTTATTTCACAGATGACTCCCTGAAATGGCCTCAGTGACTTTGAGGGATCCCCAGACCACATTCTGAGAACAAATGTCTTGTAACAGGGGTCCTTAATCCCTGGGCTGTGGCCCACTTCCAGGAAACAATCCACGTGAGCAACAGGCTAATGTGTAAGTTGAGCTGCGCACGCATGGACTTGTGCACTGGCTCACCACTCACGGAAACTGAGCTTTGCATGCAGGCTCACTGCTCAGCCCGGTCTACTCAGTGAGAAGAGCAAACACCGGGCCAGCAAAGCGAAAACATGCCAGCAGTTTGGGGAGTGGTGTCAAGCTGGCCACGCCCACCTAATCGATCATGGCTACCTGGCCCACCAGGGTCAATCATAGCCCTGGAGCGGCCCTCAATGAAATTGAGTTTGACACCTCTGGTTTAGATGGTCGGTAATTCTAAAAGGATATCTTCCTGATCTGCAAAATCCATTTGGTCTGCCAAATTGATTATTACAAAGCAACCATATAGTAATTGTCAGGGGTTTTGCAACCAAGATGTGATAGTGCTAATCATTTATGACTACATTTAAGCTGTGCCAAATCTGCTGACAATTTTCAATGTAAATGAAATATCTAAACAATATTTACCTGCAAATGCTTCAGACTACCTATTGCCAGGATATTGACTTCATTATCTAGAAATGAAACATCTATTTCACGATTTAACACAAAAACAGAGGACTTGCATACTTTATTTGTTTCCCATATCTGTTGAAAAGAAAATTATTATTAGAAGCTATGTCATCTAAACTGTAGAAGTTTGACCATAGATAAATTAAACTGTAAAATTTAGGGCTGTAATTACTCAATTAAAAATAAACATCAGCTTCTTTTATTTCCATTTATAAAGTTATTTAATGAATAATTTATCTATGTGTCCCAAAGGTGCTTTCTTTCAAAAGGCAACTGGACTTTCTTGTTTTGTTTGAAGATGTTTCATTTCTCATCCAGGAAGTTTCTTCAGTTCTGATTAAATGGTGGAGAATGGAAGAAATCATATTACAGGGAAAATATAAATCCTTCCATTCTCCACCATTCAGTTAGAACTGAGCAAGCTTCTTGGATGAGAAGTGAAACGTCTTCAAGCAAAACAAGAAAGTCTAGTTGTCTTTGAAAGAAAGCACTTTTGGGATAATCATGACCTGGATGACTGAGAATTTCTATAAAAATTTACCTGAGTACTTCACAAAGAAATCACATATTAATAAAAATGTAGTTCTTTTATTCAATTCAAAGAAGCAGGCTTTGTTCCAAGTCCCATCGTTTGCCTTAACAGAACAGTTAAAATGAGGCCTTCTCCATATTAGCTTCCATACTATGGAGTTTTTCATCAAAAGGTACTCATTAGATTTTCATTCTAGCAGAGATGTTTCACATCTCCACTTGCTATGATTGTGCAGTATTTTTACTACTACTTTATTTATTTGTTTAGATGTAAAATATAGTTATCCTATTTTCTAACCTGACTTTAAAACGAGTGGTTTTTTTCAAATAATAACTGCCTTAAAGAATTTTTTTATGTCATCCAAACTTTAAATATTCATTTCCCCCATAAGACTCTGGGAGACTTAAGAGAACTTTAAGAACTATGAATCATGTAAGTATACAGATACAGTTTCAAATGTAAAGTATTTTTGCACAGCATTGAATTTAAAAAGAAAGGAAGATAAAATAAGGATACAATGCAACTAATTCAAATATGCTAAAAATCTGTACATGTTTTGATAGCTACAAATCCTCATTTGACGCATTATGAAATCAATGCATATATCCTGAACTTCTACTGCTATAAAATTTAACATTAGACAATTATTTGCTCTGTGTTAAAAATATCCAGAAAAGAACTGAGGGGAAAACTTACCCTTATTGTTTGGTCATCAGAAGATGTGACAAAAAAAGAACCATCAAGAGAAAAATTCACAGAATGTACCCAACTCATATGTCCTAGGCACTCAGCTATTTTTGAAATGGATTCAATGTTCCATATCTAATAGAAAATTTTTTAAAAAAACTTTTAATATAAAAACATAACTCTAGTAAATCATATCAAATAGTGATAAAACATTGTCTCCCACAGTCTATCAATATGCCCTGTGAGGTTTGCAAAGGGCATAATCAGACCTCCCACACTGTTGTTTCCTGGTAATTTGCACTCTATTTAGAATCAGAGCTTTCATCCATCAATGGGCCAGTATTTGTAGTTTTTTTTTAAAAAACAAACAAACATTATAATTAAAAATAGCTCACATTCAAACAGCTTCCTTTCAAATGTTAGGCTGTCACCAGCAACTACAAAATTACAAAAAAACAAACACACAATACAGATGTATAGTATTAAAATGAGTCCTTGTCTAAAAGTAAATGTAATTGAAGATTAGATTTTAATTGCTTAATTCTGTTCTATTTCAAGAACTCTTTGCTATTACCTTAAGGTAGCTGGAACCATCAAACATTAAACAATAGGTATGTATTATAAGATAGAAAAATAAAAATAAATAAAAATTTAATAACAAACAATTAATTACAAACTGTTAATTAGCTTTTTTAAATTTCCAAGCAAAATGTCTTATCAATGTATCATTATGGACCTTAGAGTTTCACTACTATTTTTCAGTAATAATCGTGACATATTCCCCTGGAATTTTAATTTTGATTTAAAATACCAAATCCAAAATTATAGGTATGTAGATTATTGACTTAAACTAACATGTATAATAGTTTTATTTCAATTTTACTAAAAGAAACGGTAGTGATTATTTGCAAGCATCAAAAAATCATTATTCTGAGTGTTAGTATATTGCCTGGATCTGCTAGCTAGTGAGATTTAACCAACAGGATGATAGTTTATAATAGAGATGCTAGTTAGTATGGAATAGCATAAACATGACTTTCTTTATTTCATTGTAGGAGGTGATTAAAAGTTACAACAAACTCTCATCCTAGATAAAAATATATATTACTTTGGTTTGCCTCAGTTTCTCTTCTGCTTCTGAAGTGACAAAATGCTTTTCTTGGTGATTTTGCTCTATTTCTAATTCTCTTACTGGACATATATTCCAGAATAGATTTGATATTTGCTTAAATATTTGCTTGAAATTTAACAATAATCTCATCTTAGATTCTTGATTTGATAGGAAGTTACTCTTACCTCTTACTTTTAGCCATCAATAAACTTTTAGCTTTTAGCAAAACTGAAAATTAATTTTTAGCAAAATCTGAATTAATTCAGATTGGTAAAATGACCCTGAATCCATACAAAAGTTCAAATCTTTACATTTATAAATCCACGAAGCTTCTTCCTATGAT